TATATATTTATTGGTATTCTTTACCTTTATATGCTGGAGGCTAAAGCCTCTTTAAACTACCCATAACCTTATTCCCGGCGGCTAAGATGGAAAGCTAGGGTCTTGACAACAACGGAGCGGGTTCTAGATAGAAATCTTCTGGTCTGAGCTTCATTACCGTTTTGGTTAAATCTATATCGAAGGCGTCTCTTAGAAACAACGCTCCACTATGTGTGTAGGAGCATTATTAAGCTAGCTGTTCTGTCCACATCCCTGCAAAAGTGCCCCCGTTGCGGGGAGACTCGTGGAAGTTTTTGCCGGAATGAAGTTGCCAAAGTACGGGGAACACGAGGTCAACAAGCGCTTAGGTCCAGGGCTGCGGGCTGATGTCTGTGTCATCGCGGCCAAGTCAAACGCCGTCATGCCGGCCCTTCCCCAGATAATCGACCCCATCTGTTACGGCAGTCCTTACAAATACTCAATAGCGACATTTAGCTACTCTCCTGAGAAGGTCGTATCAGTCTCTGGTCCACCGTTTCTATTGCTTTTCGATGGCAGGGACCCTAGCTTGGTATGAAGTTATTGTCACTCGGCCTGTACAATTCCGGATCACGTCGACGGTGGGGATGCTAATGAGTGCATCTTTTAAAACCTCAATATAGCCCTGCCTCGTTATTAACGAGTCCCACCTCCCCAGCTGATGACAGCTACAGGTATGGCAAGTCTGAGTGACGCAGATGTTGCTGTCATTCTCACCACTTTTAAAAGGAACGTTATGAAGCGCCAGGCATCCCGTGAAGCGGCAGAAGACAGTCAACCGTCCAAGAAGAGAGGCTTGTCCAGTCGACCGCCAAGGGCCTCTCAAGCATGCCAAGCTTGTGCTGCCTCCAAGGTTCGATGCGACGACTTCGAGGAATGCCGCAGATGTATAAAACGTGGCACTCCCTGCGTTCGTTTAAGTCAGGTTGGACAGGATCACCATGCAGCTTTGGCAGAGACACCCCATGCCCTAAGCGACTCTACCACTGGGACATCTATCGGCGCGGGTGATTCTTACGCTTTATCGTCAACCACACAAAACGCTGCTGGAGTGCCACCGTTAAACACTGCAACCACAGATGCTTTTGGCAGAGGAATAGTTAGGGATGATCTATTGATGGGCGTTATCAATTTGGAAGTGGCATTCGCGTTTCCAGACTCACCGATTCCAACAAGTTATTCACGACCTTTACAGGTGAGTAGAACGACATTACCCATCAAGTTGGTCGCCATGTTGATGATTGCAGCTTGGCAGCGACATCCAGTTTACAGACAACATCGCCGACACGACGCCAACTGACACCACAGACTGGTTGAGAACCTCCTTGCTTGACGCCGAATTCGATATATCATTTCTTCCCCTCCCATTCCTCGACTCCTCCGGATGCTTTGGGGATGATTCAATGCAACACTCGACAGCCACAAGCTCCAAGAATTTTCCGCGCAAAGTCAAAGTCGATTTCAAAGAGGCCATAGTAGCCTACAGTACCACTTTGGGAAGCTGGAATCTCAGTGATGAGGACTACCTAGCCACAGCAAGAGCCTCTCTCTATGTTCCCCTCGACGAACACCTCGATTTGGGGGAAGGCTTAGCTAAGTCCATTCAATCCTGCTGTAATCAGTGGATATCTTTCATCTGCAAGAAGAGACGAGATCATCGTTGCCGTGATCGATGGGGCTCAGACGGCTCACTCACTACGGGCAATTAGACTGTTCCCCTCAACTGAAATACTAGACAAGTTCCTCAAAGTATTCCTTACCACCCAGGAGACCAATCCCTCAGCCTTCATCCACATTGCGACATTCGATCCATCAACTTGCAGTTTACCTCTTCTTATAGCATGTATCGTCGCTGGCGCCGTATCATCGTCAAGGACACTTACCCGCAAGTTCGGGCTGGGACTTTTTGATATGCTACATCTCTACCTTGCCGCATTGGTTAGTTAAAAGATGCCTATTAGCAGGTTTATTATTAGCTCATTCGGGGGTGACTAATCTGGCACAAGGGCGAATGGGCAAATATATTGACTCGTGATCTCTCGTGTGTCGAATCGCTAATGATACTGTCGGAGACGGGCCTCTGGAGTGGCGATAAACGGATCTCTGAGATATCTGATTCTCTGTCAGAGATGACAGCACTGGTTAATTAAGTCCCGCCTGTAAGGACAAATCTCTCAACTAACAGGCGACAGATGTTGCGACACGCTGGTCTTTTTTCTCAACACACCTATTCTGATCCAACTCTCATGCTAGACAAGCCCCCTACTGATTCGGACGACGCGTGGACAAGATGGGCACAACAGCAGTCTTTGAAGAGGTAAGCCTGAGCTCATTACCTCTACTCGACAAAATCTTACGAGCGATCTTAGGACAGTCTTTCGACATCTTCTGCATTGCACACAGCGATCCGTCATAAGAAACGTAGCAGCGCAAATGTCTCCCCTTGACGTTTCGACACCTATACCTGAAGACTGTCGGCTCTGGTATGCAAAGTCGGCAACTGAGTGGAAGTCCCTGTACCAGAACCATGAACCTCGTCCTGCGGAGCGCAGAATGACGATTATCGACTGTCTTTCCGATATCCGATCGATCGAGCTACTCTCGTCCTTCCAGGCCTCCAATCTCGCCAAATCATCGTTGCTATACTCTTTTCTTTCGCTTCTCGTTGCGGATCGTCACCGAAGAACGGTTTTGCGCAAGAAGGAGGACTCTGGTTGGTCTTTCACCAACGTAACCCGATTACCTATTAACTCAGATATGGTATCTCTATTCGATGAGTTATGAGAGATGATCGAAGGAGGTAGTGAAGAATCACCTATTCTTACCTTCATGGTCGAATTCACCATGCTCTACTCGAGTATCCCCCAACATCTCAGAGACAGCTTTCTGGATAGTGGGAAACAGACGTCTGCCTCCGACATTTCTTCTCACCTTCAGGAATGGCAACAGAGTCGATCCAGCAGGTCAGCAATTTGGCATGCGGGTCAGCTTATCAGAGCCTGTAGAAATATCGCACCGAACGAACGCACAGATTTCCACCTGATTGCTGTTTACCACTCCCTGTTGTGCCTCTTGACATATTGGGCTGGATCTAGGGAGAACCCGTCAGTCATGGTGCGCCCGATCAGACCAGCCGTTAGTCTGCCTACAATTCTCCTGGATGGACCCGAGTCGCTCGAGTCTCAGCGGTGGATTACTCACAACAATGGAGTTCCGTACTTGACTAGACCATCTGAAACCAGTGGCATAGTTGATGTGACTCCGGGACTCTTTCTAGTTGACGCTACCTACTCGGAGGGAGATTTATCCGAACTACCCTTGGTCAGTATATTGAACGGGTGTTTCTCAAACAAGATCATAGGTAGATACATTCCAACACTGCAAGACGTCTCATTAGTTTTATATAACTTGGAAAGATTGTGATATATTATCTATTTCACACGGTCTTGTAGTCCTTGATGTACATCGACTTACGTTCACGAAAGTTGTTTTGCGAAAGGCGATTCCGTAGGCGCCTGGACTGAAGGGTCCAACAGTCGTTGATAGAACAACAGATATCATTGGCAGCGACATGTATTGGTCCTTTATCTTTTGGCGGTCCTGTCGACAGCGATACGGTCCTGCCGCTCTGCCATGTCCAAAGATGCATTCCGCTTTTTGCGTGGACGACTCATGTCGCGTGCAACATGTAGCTAGTCAAGCTCTCAATTCTTAATAATCGCATATGGAATTTCGTCAATTCTTTCTAATCAAAGTTGTACGTTTATGACAGTGACTTCACATGAAGCAATTCAATTTCGCTGAGCCGAGGCTGTTCACAGTTCTGCAAACCGGGTATAATACATGGCGCGCGCGGGGTACATGTTATGATTGACCTAACCCTGCGAGAGCTCAGGTAGCTCCAACACGACATGTCTGAAAGTTGCTAATGGTTGTTCTACTCACTAACTTCGGCCGCATACCCCGCATTCCAAAGGGATCTGCAGACAGGGACTGCGAAACGAAACGGACTGGAGCGCTTGGCCATACAAGGGCTAGTACACTATGGGCCCTCGGCACTCACGGAGCTCTACCTTCGTACCCCTCTTCCGGAACTGAAGCTACGAAGTCTGGTATGGAGAACTGTTGCTTCATTGGGCGACAGAGCGACAGACGGAACCTCTATCATCTTCACATCTGACCGACTGTATAGTGAACAGCTTGCTCGACATGGCAACGGACAGCACGTCTTCTCCCCAGGGTCTCGGTGCCTTGACCACAACGCGCAACGATACTAACCTCAGTCGACGCGAACGAAAGAGGGCTAGCGATCGCATGTCACAGCAGGCATCTCGCGCAAAGACCAAAGCATACATTGCCCATCTCGAGAGGAGCGTCGCAAGGCTGACAGAAGCCCAAAACAATTCTGGTTTGAACGTTTCCGAACAATTAAGACAGCAGTTCGATGAGATCGCGGGCTTGAAACAAACTTTGTCTCAAATCGCTAAGCTTGCAGCCAATTCAATCTCACAGCAGAATTCTGGTGACAACTTGGATGACAGCCCGTCGCGTCCTCCCGCCTCGAGTAACGACAAGGACTCCAGGCATTTCCCGGATACGTACAATCCAGCCTGCCACCCCCATCAAGAGTCACTCGACCGTCTATATCCAGCCCTCGATCTCAACTGTGGCGACAAACAGCGCGACTATTTCCAAGCGTTCAGCCAAGCGCTGGATACCATCGAGAGCGAGGCGAGAGGACACGTTTTCTCGGGCCCCGAGATCGACGACGACATCAACATCAGGGCGGTGCTGGATGGTTGGGATGCTGCGAGAGCAAGGAATCCATTCGATATTGGCTGGCTGATGTTGCAGACTCTCGATGAGGGGTTTCTATGGCGCAGCGGGGCAGTGGAAAGGATGGCGACGCTACGGGTGATCCGGTCAATGCTCATGGTACTGTCCCAAACACAGCGAAGGAGTGTAATATGTGCTAAGAGGAGAGATAGGTCAAACTCAACCCACAACTTCCACCGAGCAGGAGACCCCCTGTTTACATGAATCCAAGGTGCGCAATAGGCAAATCCCCTTGTCGCGCGTCAGCAATTCCTCACCAAAATACCAAATAGTTCACTGCAATCTCAGACGGACCATTCAAGGCTGGTCGATTACTTTGTATGGTGAATAATCCCTAGCCCAAGCTGTACCTGTACACTTATGATTAGGTCCTTCTGACAAATTTAGGCCCGAAGTGCGTGATTACTTGATTCTTTTTGGCATCAATTACGCGCCGGAGAGTCTCGCGGCTCAGTTCGCTAGCGACATTGGGTTTAGATGGCCATACGACCTAAGAGATACCTGCAGGTATCAGCCCGCGAAGGGGGTCTATAGTTTCTCCGAGGATTTCAATCTAGCGTACAGGAACCTGGACTCGTGGTATATGAAGTCTGCTCTCGTAACGACCTACATACCGCCTTTGCCCTCCAATCTACTGTATGCTGGCTCAGATGATGACCACTGGCTGAAACAAATATCGGGCGAGTCTCAACCATCTCCTGACTCATCGCTTCGTAACGAGGAAGAGGGAGAACAAGACTGGCTACTGTTGACAGCAATGCTTGACGATATTCCTAAGTAGCACATACAATACCTAGTTCTATGCTTCATCTCAAATCAGTCACTTGAGCTTATATACCAAGCCAATTCTGACCTCGTTCATCCAATTCGCTTTGTTATTTAACATGATAATTACAGGGCCCATCATTGCGTCCCTGATAGCCGAATAGAGACTGTCTTGGTGGTAGTGTAGCTCTCCAACACAGCTGCCCCCAACTCGCGACCAATTCCACTTTCTTTGTATCCGCCAAACGGAAGCTGGTGATGAATAGTATTGTACTGCGCGCGGAACGCAAAGTCAGCGAAAATCAGGCGTTCTGTGGGTGTATACGAACCTGGTTCACCCAAACGGTGCCAGTCTCGAGGAGACTGGACACGTTGAGAGCACGGTCGATGTTCTTGGTATGTACTCCGCTGGCAAGGCCATACGAAGTTGCATTCGCAGCCTGAACTACCTCATCCTGGGTTTCAAACCTGGAGACAACGCATACCGGCCCGAAGATCTCGTCGCGCATGATCTTCATATCCGGAGAGGCAGCGGAAAAGATAGTTGGCTGGATGAAAAAGCCCTTCTCGCCCCAACGAGAGCCACCAGCTTCGACTTTTGCGCCATCGTCCACACCGCTCTTGATGTATCTACTCACAATTGGTCATAAGAAAATTAAAGAGGGGATAGATATAGCATACCCTAGAATTCGATCAAACTGGGCCTTGGAGGTCTGCGGTCCGTGGAATGTCTTTATGTCGAACGGATCGCCCACTTGAATGAGCGCTACCCTGGCCCTAAGAGCGTCCAAGAACCTGTCATAAATCCCAGCCTGAACGTACACACGCGAGCCGGCACAGCAGACCTGCCCGGAACTATAGAAGATGCCAAACGTAACCCACTCAACGGCTGCATCGAAATCTGCATCATCAAAGACAATATTAGGGCCCTTACCGCCCAGCTCAAGGGTCACAGGCTTCAGGTTGGACTTGGCTGCCGCCTGCATGATAGCGCGCCCAGTAGTGGTTGACCCTGTGAATGATATCTTTGCAACGTCCATGTGAGAAGCAAGGGAGGCGCCGGCCACGTTGCCAAAGCCAGAGATGACATTGAAGATACCCGCTGGGGCTCCCGCTTGCTTGAAATAGTCAGCTAGTAACAGGGCAGATAATGGAGTTAGCTCTGAGGTTTTGACGACGACGGTGTTGCCAGCTGCAAGAGCTGGAGCTACCTTCCAAGACATGAGGACAAGAGGTGCGTTCCAAGGGACGATCATCCCACAAACGCCAAACTACGCAAAACGTGTCAAGTTAGTAAACACGTCGTTCATTTGGGGTTGCCGAGCACATACCGGCTCACGCTTGGTAAAGTTGAATCGCTCTGCATCAACATCAATCACTTTACCTTCCACTTTATCAGCCCAACCTGCATAGTAATTAAAGACGGAGACGCAGTGCATGACATCTCCAATTGCCCACTGCTGAGCCTTGCCGTTGTTGAGCGTCTCAACCTTGGCCAGCAGGTCGAGGTTCTTCTCGATGAGATCGGCTACTCCGCGCAGCAACTTTCCTCGATCTTCAGGACTTGTAGTGCGCCATGGGCCAGTAAAAGCTCGTCTTGCGGCGGCCACGGCCAAGTCAACGTCCTCGGCCCCAGCCTCGGAGACGTGGGCGATGACCTCCTCAGTGCTGCCCAGTGGTATCAGTATTTGGTAATTGAAGGGTTCTGGGTCGCCTACGTGGGATTCACCTGTCAAAGGTGTTGATCAGCAGCCTGCGCAGGCAACATCTTTGGAAAAGCAACTTACAACTTCAAACGTCTTGCCATTTATGCTTTCGCGGAATTCGTTGTCAATGAACCTTGACACTGTATTTTAGACCAATGCCATCATAGACAGGAGGAACACCATCATACAGGCCTAAAGGCTGATCGTAGCTTTTGCCGTCTGGGAGGCATATTTCACAGGTCAGTGGCATTCTGTATTTCGTAACGGCTTGGTTACGTTAGCGGCAGAGGGTTAGAAATGAGAAGATTGAGAAGAAGTCAATTTGTCATTCTAGCTACTTAAGAGATACATTAGTTTTGATTAAACACTTATACTCTCGTTTTCAGAATTAAGTCTGCATCCCACTGCATCGGGCCACTCCTCTGAGATGATACCTCTCTTCCGAGGTCAAGTGGCCTGTGAATATACGAGCCTCGGTTCCCTTAGCATTGACTAGCTATTTCTGACTCGCACTACGTCAATGTGATCAGAAATGCCAATGCGGGGAAATATCATTGACGCGATTCGAACTTTGCCTATAGGCTATACCTACCTACCCCGCTGAACCGAGTCAGCAGCTAAAACATAATCATGACCAATCTTTTAGTTTGTCACGCTGATTACACTACCATCGCCTGAGTGACTGATCCTTTGAGACGGCAGTCTTGGGAAAAGTCAATATTTCATCCCACTTACATCTTTCAGAGCAAGTCAGCACAGACTAGCAAGAAGAAACAACAAACCACCAATCGCATCACGATACAGGCCTTTGATCTCAAGGCACTCAATTCAACGTGGGCTTTGAGAAGAATCACTTCCATAATGGCTATCGAAGGACCCGAGATTCCCAAGCAGTACCGTGCTTTGGTGTACGATAGCCCTGGCTCCATATCGACCGAGATTGTGACATTGGACACGCCGGAACCAGGACCAGGTGAAGTGCTGATAAATATGTGAGATACCCACATGATCCGATATCATTGAGTCACAGCTGAGCGGCTTGTTAACCTACACAGGACGCATTCCGGTGTCTGTCACTCGGACTTGGCTGTCATGACCAATGGCGTATGTATCATTTTAGTCTTAAGATGAACCTGCACCACTGATACAAAGGCTGATACTACTTCAGTGGCCATCACTCCCTGCTCCAACACCCAAGGGCCAGGTTGGCGGTCATGAGGGTGTAGGCAAGGTTGTGAAATTGGGACCAGGAGTAGAGTCTACGGGGATGAAGATTGGAGATCGCGTTGGAGTGAAATGGATCGCAAGCTGTTGTGGAAGATGCGGTATGTAATCACCCGAGATCCAATATCTACTTAAAGCTAAAGTTGTTTTTCAGAGCCTTGCATTGTCCGCGAAGACGGTCTCTGCTTCAATCAGCAGATCTCCGGCTACTTCACCCCAGGCACCTTTCAACAATACGTACTCGGGACAGCTGCATGTGTGACACCTATACCAGAAGGGCTGGACTCGGCTATAGCGGCTCCGATGCTCTGCGCCGGGGTGACGGTATACTCTGCCCTGCTTCGCAGTCAAGCAAAAGCCGGGAACTGGGTTGTCATTGCTGGGGCGGGAGGCGGTTTAGGTCATCTGGCCTGTCAGCTCGGGTCTAGGGCTCTAGGCCTGCGTATCATTGGCGTCGATGACAGTAGCAAGGCTGATCTCGTGCATGGTTCGGGCGCGGAGCACTTTGTTGATGTGAGGGGATTCTCGAGCGACGAGGAGATGTCGACCAAGATCAAGAGTCTGACTGGTGGTCTTGGGGCTCACTCAGTCATTGTGTGCACGGCATCACCGAGAGCTTATGCACAGTCCATGAGCTTCTTGCGGTTTAATGGGACTGTGGTCTGCGTTGGGATGGTCGAGGGCGAGGAAGTGCCGATCGCGGGAGCCAAGCCAGTGCAGATGATTGCAAAGCAGTTAAGGGTTGTGGGTTCTGCAGTTGGGAATCAGCAGCATGCTATTGAAGTCCTAGACTTTGCTGCTCGTGGTATTATTAAGCCGCACGTGGAGGTTCGCAAGATGGAAGACTTGACTGGAGTATTCCAAGATATGAAACAAGGAAAGCTACATGGAAGGGTTGTCATTGATCTCGCTTGATGTAATTTCGTTATGTCTTCTTAGGTGTATAGGTATCCCGAATACAATGAGTATTGATATAAAATTACTTGATAAGAGCAAGAAGAACAGCATTGGCAATAAACGCCATGGAGAGTACTGCCAAGCATACTTTCCAGGTGGTGAGATAGATGAGTTATTTGCTATTGAGACTTATGGCTGAGACTAAATCGGCATAGAGAGCTTGGCAAATTTATCAAGGTGTATAAGGCCCAATATTATGGACAAACCATACTGGCCAGATGACGTGGCAGTTCGAACTTAAGTAGAGAACAATAGATGCAATAATGTATTCCTAGAACCCATCAAATTTGAGTCTGAAGTAAAAGTAGTGTATATAAAATCCCGATGCATTGAAAGACTATAGCGAATCTCAACAGCTACAAAATGTGCTTCAGCAAATGACCCCGACGATGAAGATAGACCGAGACCGCTCCGGTCAATGCCGCCAGAACTGTTACTGAAACGAATTGCTGGGTACTGAAAATTGTTTCCTCCATAACACGGCCGATATACTCCTTACCAGTCGGAAGATTCTCTCCCCCATCTCCCCCAAGCTCGTAATCTGACCAGTCAACCTTGGACAGCAGTTTCTGATACTCCACTACAGTTCCGCTCCAATTGTTGGTGACAACCCCGCTATCTGTCTTGTACCAGCTGCTGCACCTAGGATCTGCGAAGGTAGAACTTCCTAGGCTGTTCTGCAGGTCTTTGTTCCATTCTTGGACCCTCAGTGCTCTAGGCATGAGAGATAACTTGCCCCCTCGGGCTCTACTCTTCACGACTCTTGTCACCAAGGGTACGAGATATCTGGCTTGCGCTTCAATCATGAGAATGATAGAGTTGTGGCCCAGATTTGTGTTCGGCCCGTAGAGCATTCCAAAGTTTGGCAGAGTGTCTACCGTGACGCCGTAAAGAGCAGATGCACCGTTTGCCCATTTGGAACTCAGAGTTTGGCCACCCACGCCTTGCACGTGAATCCCGTGCATGAAGTCCTTGGCTTGGAATCCAGTCGCAAAAATGACAAGGTCAAGATCAATCATCTTTTCCTCTAGCCCTTCTTTCACAACGACGCCAGTAGCAGTCATTCTGTCGATTTGTCGTGTCTCGAGAGTAACGTGTGAAAGCCGTAACGTAGGATAGTAATCATCGCTGAGGAGAATGCGTTTACATCCCGGCGGATAGTTTGGTGTCAGTTTCTCCCACAGATCTGGGCGACTGGGGAGTTGCGTCTGCATGTGCTGCTTACAGATTTCCGTCATGGTCGAAGAGTCGGACGAATCGGCGTGATTGACAGCTTCATAGTAGGCTTCGCGAGCATTCATTATCTCCCCCCTTACCCGACTGAGGACCGCAGGCACATGATCAAATAGAACCCTTTTCCATCGTGGAATCTCTGCGTCGAATCTCGGCATGAGCCAATTTGGTGAGCGTTGAAAGATGGTCAAGTTAGAGGCGGCCTTTGCGACTTCAGGTGCGATTTGAACGGCGGTAGCTCCTGAATAGAACGTCAGACGCGGTTTCTTCCCTTGGGTCGTAGCCCGATAACCTACCATTACCGATTATGCCGACACGCTTGCCAGCGAAGTCATAGCTCCAGTCCCAGCGAGCAGAGTGCATGACCCTTCCCTGGAAGCTTTCTTGGCCGGTGATCTTGGGCCAAAATGGCTCGTTCAGCTGACCGACTCCGGCAATCAAGAAGCTGGCCTTGATGGTGTATCTCGGGCAGAATTCAGCCTCTTTTGCAGCTAAAACCTGAATGGCGACGCTCCATTCATGAGACTCGGAGTCCCATTCCGCGGCAGTGACTTCTGAGCCAAAGCGTACGAGCTTATACAGACCATACTTCTGGGCGACATCTTGAATGTAACTCTTTCGCAGATCCTCAATAAGCAAGAGAGCTCGGCTACCGACAGGGTTGTGTACTTACAAGGATCTCTTTCTGTTCTGGATACGCTCTGGACCAGTGAGGGTTCTGTGCAAAGGAATACGAGTACAGGTGTGACAAGACTGGGGTGAGGGGGTTAGTGAGCCCTCTCTGCGAAGAATTGAATGAACCAACTGTCGCAGCAACTTCCTGGATATATGTTATCTTTCCACGTCCCTCCAAAACCTGCACTCTTCTCGACGATGACGATATCGCGTATGCCGGCTTCGAGCAGCTTGATGGCCATGCAGATCCCTTTAGTACAATCAGTTTCTTTGAACAAGAGCCAAAATACCGACCTTGTTCGATCTTACCTGAGAATCCAGCCCCGATGATTACCACATCCGATCTTGTCATGGTTTGATGTTTATCGGCACCATGGGCGAGGTTCTGACGACGTATTGTGGTGTTGATCGCTTCGGCGAGGAACGGTCCAAATAGGTAGTTTCCTCTCTATGATTCTTGGTTGTAGTGGAATGACAACTAAATGAGCGGCTATCCCTTAAGCACGTATTAAATGAATACGCCACGCAGGAGATCTAGCCTGTAAATGGATTCGGTGAATTGGCGTATTAACACAATATTGTAATAGTATATGCCGCGGCCGGCATACCGGCAATGTCAACTCCTTGTCCGTTAGCAAAGTATAAATGGCACCACTGTGCGGGGGAAGCCTCGGCTTGGAAATAGCTTGGAAGCGTTTCACCCTCCAACGCAGCTAGGTATAGAAGAGATTCTAGCCGTTTCCTACTTGCTGATAAACGCAGCTTGAGAAAGCCTGAGTAACTTGTTTTAATTGCTTTTAAAAGCGTAGGGTAATTGGGATTTTACAGTGATTGGCTTGATACATCTTATCAAGGCGGTAATATTTTTAATTATTAATTAATTACTAATAGAAACTGGAGGTAAATTGTATGGATATTTAGAAAGTAATCTAGATATATAATAAAAGTATGTTACATATCGTTGCTATAAATATAATAGCAAGTTAAATAGAGTGAGATAGATAAGAATATTTAACAGTGAACAGATTAACTCCAAACTTGACAATCCTAAGGGCAGCCCAGGCAGCACTAACCAAGGAACCCACGAGTATCAATAACACAGCCAACGCCTTGCGATCAGCAGTCCAAAATACAATTTTATTAGACTTAGCAAGAGTCTCGCCCTCGCCCTTCTGCTTGGTATCGTCCGAGCTGGGTAGGTACTTGAAGTTAAAGGCAGAGCGGTGATCCAGGCCGAGTTCTGGGTTGTTGATATAGTCCCTGACGTTTCGCCGGAAGGACGCAATCTGGGCGCGGTCAAGGAAATGGATGTCGCGGCAGGTATAGTACACTATCATGAACAGCACACACTGTCCCGCTGCAAGCATCGTGTAGTACCTGCTGGGCTGGCCAATGCCCAGAGCATCAGCGAGAGGGTCGCCGTTAAGCCAGCGCGCAGTGGCCTCGAGGTACGGCTTACTGGCGTAGCTAGGCGCTGTGTCACTCATAGCGATGATGATGTTCTGGGCGTGTGTCTGCGACCTGCTCGACGGGTTGTACTCGTACAGGTACAGCGACTCCATGATAGCACGCGCCTTGGCCGGCGTGGAGAAGAAGTCGGTCGGCGTGCCCATGTAGTAGGCGATGAGGCGCCACAGGGCTACATAGTCGCGTATCTCCTGCTCGCGCATATGGATGCCCTGCCGCGGGAGTGACTGCCAGATGATGGTTGCGCAATTGACGGCAATGGTGCCGATCGAGTCCAGGTCGTTGATGGGAATACCAAGCTTTTCAACTGAGAAGTAAGACGGGCGCTTGGCTGCGAGCTGGAGGATGCGATGTCGTACTGTGCCGTGTAGGAAGCGTACGCGCATGCAGCTAGCGAAGCCACGGCCGCCGAACTTGAGGCTGTCGACACTCTCGGTGACGTCGATGAAGTAGATGGTGGTCTCGAGCATACGGCGGAACACGGTGTTCACGTTAAACCCGCCCGTGCGACCCAATACCTCGGCCACTCGAGCGCCGGCGGTGCCTCCGACGAGCGACTGGTACGTCAACCCGGTGAAGGCGGCGCCTCCATACCGATATAGGACGTCTTGGCCGCGTGCGATCTGGTCCCAGTCGACCCAGTCGGGCGTGGTGTTGACCTCCTCCCAGAGCTTCTGGAGCTTTGGATGCTCTGTGTGATGCTCGCAGAACAGCTCGTATAGATCTCGGTATTTCGAGGGACGATTCTCAGGCTTCGCTCCGTCCCGAGAAGTGGCATTGGAGCTATGATTGTCTTGCTGACTCTTAGAGGTTCCGCTTTCAGCCGGATACATTTCATTCAGGAGCACTGCACAATCCTCGCCCAGTGTGTCACAGGAGTGTTTGAGATAGTCATACTGCTCTGGGGTCTGGTGGTCTTTGGTCCATTTGAATCGATAACCCCAGGCCTCCCGCATCTCGTCCTCAAACTTGGTGGTTTTGGGTGGTGCCATGGTTAATGGGAGTGACGCGGTTGCTAACTTAGATGTCGAAGACGATACGGACAGTCGATGTAGAACAGACTCCTAGGTAACTCGGAGGAGGTCTTGGCCTGATATCTACAGCTTCGGTCCCATTGAGAAACCCGACTGCTCTGTGAGTCCCTTTACGTACAGTAGTAATAGCCAGACCGCAAGTGGACGTCCCATACCAGCGGATAAGACTATCTGGTGTGTAACAGTTGACATGGAACGTGTTGTAGCATTCATGCCTGGCATGCGCACCCTCGGAGCGTTGCAGGGCCCCGAAGAGTGGATGGCCATGGCCTCATTGGACTAATTACATGTAAGCTCTTGTTCCTACCCGTTGACTAACAAGCAGTTGCTGGTTCTAGACAGGGCTAGTCACAGCCTTGAGAGGCGAGCCCCAAGCTGATTTGGCGTCTTGTCCATGTCAGATTGTCGGAGTCAAGGATCCCAACTGTCTGACTCCGACAATCTGACTCGAGCCGCGGCTGGTTCGGCAGTTTTCTGGGGTTATCCCTCAAGGGGAAATGGCTACCACCAAGAGTGCGGGGCCCCGCATCCAGACCCCAAAATGTACAGAGATCGCTTCAGGGGTGACTTATCATGACTAACCTACTTGAGCTGGGCTATCTGGGGTCCCCGCGTTTTGACAGCCTTGGTCCCTTGGCACAGAATATGGCTTTCGGGATGTTGAAGTTACCGAGAAAATGAATGAATATATGACATGGGAGAAGCGCTTAGAATTAGCAGCATAGCAATATAATTATTGTTAGTATTATTACATGACACTCACAGTATATTATTCCGACCTTTCATACCTCGTTCTTTCCGTCCCAGCTTTCCTCCACCATCTTTTCTCCAGTGTGTACAACGCCGTCATGACAAAGTCCCAAGAAGACGATCATTCTTCCCCCTTCTCGGAGCAGGTAGAGAAGGCTGAGTACGGTGGTATTCTGGCCACCGACGCCAGCTATAACGCCCATGCCGTCAAGGGAGACGATTCCGATGGAGTTGTCGATTGGACTTGGCGCCATGCCATTGCCTCCATCTCTCTTGCTGGGCTATACGTAGGTATGTTACTCTCCCATTCCCTTGAAACAATCACCGTGTTCATTTCGCTAGGCGCGCAGATTCCTCTGTACTTTGTTGGGGGTTCCCTCACCTATATCGTCAAAGACATCGGATCGTCCGAAAAGTCCTCGTGGCTGCCCATCGCCAACACATTGACCATTGCCGTTGTGGCGCCCTTTGTCGGATATCTCCAAGATCTCTTCGGCCGACGTTACATTTCGCTCGCTGGCGGCGTGACCATCCTTGTTGGTGTCATTCTCGTCGGCACAACGCACACCTTTGGCCAGGCGGTCGTTGGCATGTCTCTTGCCGGTGCTGGAGCAGCCGTCGGTGAACTCACCGCTCTTGCTGGGTTTGTAGTCTCTTCGCTTCCTGGTCTAGAATTTACTGACTGCTTATCGTGCCGGTAGCATCGCGGAACTCGTCCCTGTGAAGAAGCGCGGTTTCTACCTCGCGCTGGTGACCTTCTTCGTTATTCCCTTTGTTCCATACGTCATGTACGGCCAGATCTTGAGCACCTATCACACATGGAGATGGGGCATGTGGATCTCACTGTAGGTCTCTGAGATGGTATTTGGCATTTATAAGCGCTGACGAGAATCGATTCCAGGATATACAATGGCATCTGCCTTGCGGTGGTGGCGCTCACATATTTCCCGCACTCTCATAAGAGAGGCGAGGAACTATCCAAGATGGAAATTCTCAAGTCTATCGACTACGTTGGGGCTTTCCTATCCATTGTCGGCCTGACTCTTTTGTAAGTGTCTCCCAATTCACTTCAGCTCGATCGTTATAGACTCATCTAATGCTATTAAAAGCCTTGTTGCTCTTCAGGCTGGTGGATACTCACATCCTTGGTCCTCTGCCTATGTCCTATCCCTCCTTCTGGTCGGTATCGCTCTGATCATCACATTTTGCGTCTGGGAAGCCAAGTTCGCAAAGTTTCCAATGGTCCCAGGTGACTTGTTCAAAGGGCAACGCGTCGTTGCAGTGGCCTTCCTGGTGGCCTTTGTAGGCGGCTTGAATTTCTACTCGTCCATCAACTTCTACCCGCTCGAAGCGTTGACGGTGTTCGATCCAGCTCCTGTCCAGGTCGGCCTCAAGGGCTTGGCCTCTGGCCTCGGTATCACTATTGGCGCCACGGTCATCAATGGAGCACTTTCGTGGTTCAAAGGAAATGCCAGAGAGCTGCTCCTTTTCTCCTGCGTTATGATGACTGCTTTTGGAGGAGCCTTGGCCGCGGTGACCCCCGACACTCCTGCTTTAATCTATGTTTTTGGCACCCTTTCCGGCATTGGAGTCGGCGGCGTCCTCGTTCCAGCGGCGACTGTTGCAATTACTGTTGCGTAAGTCGCACTGACTACTCACAAGAGGGACAACCCTATTTGCTAACTATCTCTCTCTCATCTTAGGCCAGACGAACTCATCGCCACATGTGTCGCCTTATCGCTGTCGATCCGTGTCGTTGGGGGCTCTATTGGTTACAGCATCTATTACAACATTTTCTACCACAAGCTCAAGGCCAAGCTCCCTTACGTCGTTGCTGAATATGCTATCAAAGCAGGCCTGCCAATCACCTCAGCCACGCAATTTGTCACTGCATTCATTCTGGACCCTTCTGCCCTAGCATCTGTCCCTGGCGTCACTCCTGAGATATTGCAGGCTGCTGCTGTTGGCAGCCGATGGGGATATGCATACGCGCTGAAATATGTGTGGTTGACAAGCATTGCTTTTGGAGTCTGCGCTATTGTAGCATGCGCTTTTATCGGAAACACCAAGAAGTACATGACTAACCGCATTGCAGCTCGTATTGCGCACTGAGTTGGTGCTGAACATGTACTGTGGCTTAAGAGAGGATTTAACTATACTTCATATAACTCTGTACCTATATATATATATATATTATATTGTCGCGCTCTCAGCATGCCAGCCTTCTATAATTTGTCAGATTAAACATACTGCGTGATTGAGGGAGCATAATAAAGTCATCTCGACCGCCACCGTCATATCAAGAAAATTAGGCCGTTTCAATCAAAGCTGGAATGCTCGTTGTCACCTACACGCTTTACACAACATGCAGTGCTACTGGATTACGCTTCTAGCTACGAAGTGAAGGTGCTCAGAAGAGTCCAAGTGATCTCGTGAATGGAATTATTAATCTACTTGCCCGTAATCTATGGGCTCCTCCTTGCACAGAAGGGATCAGTCCAAGGTGGGCCTCGGTGTTGGGAGATAAACACTAGTGCCTAGATGATCAACCTAGCTAACCGGGACCCTGATGATTCTTGGTGAGAAAAAAGTCAATGTCATTTAGGCTATAAATGGAACATGATAGGTTAAAGTTATTTTTTATCTTTTATTTATATAAGTCCTTTTTTACTTTTTTTACTCTTTTTATTCTTTTTTTTCTCTTTTTCCTCCCTTTTCCCTCGATCCCCTCAGCTACTCTGCCAACTTTTACTACTCCCGCTTAAACCAACTATAACTAACTCAAATCATGAAGCAACCTTGAACTGCTCCCACAGGGCAGAGCCTGAGGCTGCATAGTCACCGACGGTTCCATCAATCGAGCCAATCCACCTGGTGTAGAGTCCAATGTCAATTTGGGTTTCTTTCACAGTCAGAAGAGCATCCAACTCGGAGCCATCGTCCAGAGTCATGTTCAATGTCATCTGGGTCGGGTTGGTCGATAATAGAGTTGGTGGATATGGCGTGCCGACAGGTCGGACTCGAAGGCCCGTGGTGCACGTATTTCCTACAACCTTTCCGTCCTTCAAAACGTAACCGCCCACCTTCTCGACGTCGTCTTTGTCAAGCATGTCGAAGAAGACAATGTTATAGTCGCCAAAGGTAGCATGGCCCCAGTACCAGCCGTTCAACGAGGCCAAGAAAGGAGCGTCACCCCAGTTCTGAGTAGCAGACTCGAGTTAGTTTATTGGTCTTCATATCAATATGCTTATCTGAGATTGTTGGAGACGGGCAGCTGTGAACATATAAACATACCTTATCATGATATCCATTACCAGTAAACTTGATGTTTTCCCCATTAATCTTGACGTCAACTGCGGCGTCTGCGGCAGGCATAACATTCACCCAGCCAACGTTAGGGAGAACCTTTTCGTTCTGGCCTGCTTCAAGAGGACCGCAGACATAGTGACCAGGGCCGCGCTAATTCCAAAACATTAGCTACTTCCATCTTTCCATAGGCTATTCCAGCGTAGCCATGGTGTAGACTCACAGATTTCAACGTAAAAGTTCCTTCAACGGATGGGTTCAACAATGTTTTCTTGAAGGTGACCTTGTAGGTACTCAGGTCTGCCGCTCCTTGAAAACTGGCACCAGATCCGGTCCAATCACCGGAAGCTCCATCGCCATCGAGTTTGATCGTGACGGAGGTAGAGGCAATGGGGAAGGAGAAGCCATCGCCACCGTTGTTGTAAAAAACATAGACGTTTAGAGGGTCGATCGGATTCAACAAGTCGAAGCTGAATCCGACAAAGGAAGAGGTGAAGAAAATGACGGTCAGGGCGTGTTCGCCATCATCAGAAACGGCGTCAAAGTACCACCAATCGTAAGTGGTCGAGTTGATGGGATAGACACGAGGACCGTCAGCACCAGTGGCACAAGAAGTGAACAGGACGTCGCTGGGGCCAGTGGAGAGAATAGGGGAGTAGGTCGTGACTTTCTTTGGGCATTGGGTCAAGCCGCCTACGACCAAAGCCAGTAGAGGTAACAGTGCCTTGAGATAAGAGAACTTCATCGTAGGCGGGGCTAGTCTGCAACGAATATGATAACAATAATCAGAGGAGAATAGTAGATATGAGTAGTCTGGAACGTGGTCTAGTAAGTTGATGTTGTCGATAAGAGTCCAAGAGCTTGGTTTTGTACACAGAGATAAGTGGTAAGTGATCAAATGGTCCTGGCTTGAAGCTTACCAGGGATCCCGGTTCTAGGCTGTTTATGGAATTTGTTGCGAAAAAGCTAGTGAGCTTTCAGAAAGCTCATCTTATCTTGTCAGATTATCTGACACGGACATTCCAGCTGGGTTAAGGTTCGGCCACCGTTCGGTGAGCTATTGCGGGGATGTTTGCGGTCAAGGGGAGATGCTATCATAGCGTTTGCTATGTCGGGCTAATAGCTTGAAGGGAGCGGAGACAAAAAACAAGAGCTAATCCATTTCACGATAGGCGGGGTCGTATTGACCTCGGTAGTTGCAGTATTTAGAGTTCATACGAAGAATTGACAGTTGATACTGTTGATCCAAAGTGACCAATAAGGCTTTAGGAAATGGGACATCCTTGACTCTAGAGTCCGAGAGTACCGAGACCTCATGAGGGGTATCCCAAGCTGTCAGGTTGCCCGCAGTTGGACGAGGCTAGATCATCCCTTCGAGGCACTGCAGGCGTAAGCTAACGATGCAACCCATTTTCTGTTCCAGAGGCAATTGATTGATCCCATGTATTAAGCTCAGGTACATACTATGACTCCATTCACACAATTGACAATGATGTCACAATTGAAGGGCATTGCATTATGTAGAAGCTCTCCGAGTTCTCTAATGTTTACCCAGAATATGAATAGGACCCTGAAAATATATTCTCCCAAGTGCCAAAAACCCAGCGCTCATACTCGCGTATCTCCTTCTCCGCCATCTTCCGTTCATCTACTCTTCTCTTCTTTCTTCGGCTTGAATCGCGGTCTGGAGAAGGCTCTGTGATAGTGTAGTAAGAATATTTACTTTGCTGCGCTTCTTTGCCGGTATCGCTGAGTAGGAAGCGCTCGAAATCAGTCATGTTAAAGTTGCAAGTGATGGAAGGACTTGAGAACGCAGACGCGGGAGATTGTTCGGGCCGGTTTGCCTCTGTGTCTTGACCACGTCGCTCATCCAGGCTATTGTGTACTCTTGACTGAGAATCTCTCTTCGGGCGGCGCGGTGAGTCGTGGGAAATATAGCCCTTTCTGTCTGACCGCGGGAAGTAGATGATTGTTGGGGTGAAGAGGTCCTGTAATTCATCTTCAGGTAACTTTTGCTCTGACTCGTTCCAGTATGGAGTGTGAATGACTGCCACCTTTCTCGGTAAAGCTTGCATTGTCTGGTAGGTAAGAAATATCTTGCAGAATGAAATCATGTACGAAACACAGTAGTGCCGATAACTTCTTAAGTGAATGCTGCAAGTATGAGACGGTAATTGCTTGTATAAATGACGGCGGGGACCCAAAGAGGCCGCATTCTAAATACGGAGCGGGGTTCATACACTATAATCATTCCGAGTCAATTTAACGAGTCAGAACCTCCTCAATTTCCACTAGCTATAAGCTGCATGTGCCGCGCCGAGGCATTCACATTTTGAGGTACCGTACTACAAGGAATTAAAGTCCAATTCACTACACGGCAACCTCGGCTCTAAGATGGAGACATCTACTTCGCCGTTTTCCGGTAGTTTTAATGTTATTAAATTAGTCCATTTACTGATATGCACCTGGAAATACAATACCAGTTCAAGGTCTAGCAAAGCATCATGATCTACCAGTCGCAGAATCCCAAGATCTCATGTAAGTTATGTCCCTTATTCACATATGACTAGCGCTGACATTGGCTTTACAGTCTCCCCCAAGCAAACTGTTTGGTCATGGCTTCTGGAGTCCAAGCCTCTTTCCTCTGATCGCAATGCCCCAGGCTTTACTGACGCTATCACCAAAGAGCACATCAGCTTCCAATCTCTCAAAGACTACGCAATAACCTTGTCATCGGCTCTTGTTACCAACTACAACCTTGGTGAAAATAACACTGTTGTAGTGTTTGCGAAAAACTCCATTTGGTATCCTGTAGCGACACTTGCTGCCGTTCGGGTTGGAGCAGTAGCTTGCGGCGTGTCACCCGAGTACACCATCGATGAGTTTTATTACAGTCTCAAAACGAGCAAAGCAAAAGTTATCTTTGCGACGGCTGATAATTTCGATGTAGCCCGTGCTGGAGCTAAAAAGGCGGGGATCGCGCCAAAGAATATTATCTTGCTCCAAGGTTCCAGGCAAGGCATCACGAGTATCCAAGAGATAATCGACGCTTCGAAGGCTCTTATTGAGGCACCTGCACTCCAAGTCGCCGACGGAAAGACAAATATGGATATTTGTGCTTTTCTCTGCTTCAGCAGTGGTACTACGGGCCTTCCCAAGGCAGTCATGATCTCGCACGCCAATATTATAGCCCAATGCATCCAAACCGCGGATATCACGCTCGCTACCCACAATCGAGTTCTGGCAGCCTTGCCGTTTCATCACATTTCGGGTATAATACATCAACTACACCTACCTATTCACCGAAATGTCAATGTTTATGTCTTATCCAAGTTCACCCTGGACTTGCTGCTCAAGACTGCCTCTGAGTATAAGATCAGAGAACTTGTCGTTGTTCCTCCGATATTGATAAGACTAGTGCGAGAGCCGGAGCTTGTTTCGACGTATGATCTATCTCACGTTGAGCGATTCTCATCGGGCGCAGCACCTCTGTCTCGAGAGATTTTGACTCTTCTCGAGAAGACTTTCCCCGGGACCGGTTTCAAGCAGGGCTACGGTATGACCGAGTCGTGCTCAACAATTACATCGCATCCCCCCTCCAAGTATGCTTATAAATATGCCCATCGCGTTGGTATGCTGGTAGGATCAACAGAGGTACGAATTGTGGATATCGAAACTGGTGAGGACTGTCAAGTTGGCAAGGCAGGTGAGATTTGGGCTCGTGGGCCACAAATCGCTATGGGCTATCTTGACAACCTCGAGGCAACCGAAAGCACATTCGACAAGGATGACTTTTTGCATACTGGCGATATAGGCTACTTCGATGATGACGGGATGCTGGCTATCACTGACAGGCTAAAGGAGATAATCAAGGTCAAAGGCGTTGGAGTTGCCCCAGCAGAGCTCGAGGGCCTTCTTCTCGGACATCCATGCGTCGATGATGTTTCTGTGTGCGGTATTCCCGATGAGCGAGCAGGTGAAAGGCCCAAGGCGTTTGTAGTTCTCAAGCATTCTGAAATGTCGAGACCGGTTGAAGCTGCAAAGGAGATATTTGACTATGTTAGGAAGGAAAAGGCGCGACATAAGTGGCTTAAGGAGATTGAGTTTGTGTCTATAATACCGAAGAGCCCGGCTGGTAAGATTTTGAGGCGGAAGCTGCAAGGTCCGGCTTTAAGTGGTGGTGGGAACGTGGTAGTTAGAGACCCTAGAGTTGTAGCTAAGCTGTAGGGAGGCAAGAAGCAATGAACTAGAGCTAATAAATTCTTTGTCTTGATATACTTGTATTTTAAGACCTTTGCTTTTGTCAGATAGCTACTGTGACAGCTACTTGGCATCTGACGATTAGTGGACTATGTCTCCAAGGTGGTGCAGGATTACTGACTAAAACGTCGAGGAACAATCAGGCTATAACCCCGCCTTTACAGACACTGTTATTTCTTGACTCTCCATTCCGTCGAACCTCATCGTGGACACACCTCGTGCCGCAAAACCGAGAATGAGTAATATCCTAGCTTCCGAGCTTCTCCGTGGTATCTTCTCCTGGTTCTACTCTCATAGCAGTGACGACATCCACAATGAAGACGATGCAGCAAACGTCAAAACGTTCTTGGCCTTAACTCATGCATGCAGATGCCTCCGCTTAATTGTAATGCCAATCCTCTTCCACTGTATCGGTCCCCCGTCGACCTACATATTTGGAGTACTCTATTGCCAGCCAGATTTGGCGCATATGGTGAACCAGTTATGCTTGCTGCTATCGACAACCAAGAGCTCATCTATAATGACGGACTCGGTTCTCTTGATGCGATATGCTGAGAGGCCATCACTCAATCGTGAATCGATTCAAAACGCGCATTCCAATGCCATCGACGCCGAAATGTGTCTCGCCATGGCGTCATGCTTTAACGTAGAACGCTTGAAGATACAAATCGCAGACGATCAAACTATCGGGCGCAAGAGGCATTTTGAACTTCTGTATTCCCTGCTGGACAATCGTAAGCATGGAGAAATCTTGCCGAAACTTCGACATCTCGATATCGATAAGTCCCAATGCATAAAGTTCAACCTTTGTGATGCAGAGCCAATGGTTCTTCTGCGTGGTACACTCGTCTTCAAACACTGATCCTCCGAGGTCCAGGGGGTGAGAGGCACGCTCATAAGAGTAGCTACTCGGATATACAGGAAATTTGCGCTGGTGTGACGAGTATCACGGAGCTCTAGATCCTAGGTTCAGGGCGGCTCCAGTGGTCCGTAGAGAGTTCTTGCGTGGCGCTATTGAGGTTTTCAACCACTTCAATTACACAGTAGATGTAGTATCGATATTAACATGAAAGGTGAGTAAATAAGTGGCCTAGTGAGTCACCTCTGTCACTATTTGATCATAGTAAATCTGAACGGTGCCCGGGAGCGAGCCGCGAGGATAAGCTTGTGGAGTCGATCGTGGATGAGCATTTATGCCGAGACCAAATCAGTACGTGATTGCAGCGCCCTTGACATCCAAAGAGTCACTGATAGGCAGGCTTGATTTTGAGTTTATGGCTAAGGATAGCTCCGTGACAGTGGCTTGGGCCTCAGTTCAATGCACTGTGACTGACTCGTACCAGTGAGACACTGTCGCCCGTAAGACAGGCTGTTCACAAATCTGTCGCGACTTTGACTCGACGCGGAATCTGTATCTTGCTCTTTCAGCTGAGAATATGCAGATGTCGAGAGCTTCACGGATATTATTCAAGTGATACCCAGAACCTGAGATGATTTAACCTAGATACGTTACACTGGTAATTAAAGCCTCTCAGCGACCAGACCAGTAACAATTGTTTGGTACTGCACTACCGAGCGCCATAAACCACTAGCCTACGGTGTAATGTCACGCCCAACAGAAGTGCCGCTGATCATTAAATCCGTTGGTCCGCCTGTTTCCGGGGAGGCGCACGCAAAAAGCAAAAGGGACTCGGACCTCTCATACTGGACAGATTACACTTCAATTCCTTGCCCTCCCTTTTTCTTGCATCATTCATCTTCCTTTTTTCCATTCCCATGTCTTGAACGAAATCTCCCTGGGAGGCAGCGAAAGCGTCCCTCTCGCTGATGACGTCGCCTACGGGTCTCGGCACAACGATAATCGTGGTTTCTGTGTCGCTGACTGTTTTGGCGGGCTTGTTCTTGGGTCTGAGATTGTATTGCAAGGTTATTCGACGGAGGGGGTTTTGGTGGGATGATTATATCTTGATTGCAGCTTGGGTGAGTAACAGCTAATCTATGTTGAGTTTGAGCTCACGATCTGTGAGATCCGTCATAGCGACGCGATCAGAACAACTACCGCGTTTAGATTCCTGGAGCTGAACTAACATCGCGCGACTTCTTATCAGATATGTCTCACCATTGGCACTGGTCTCGTCATCTTCAATGTCACCCTCGGTTTCGGCAAGGATCAGGCAAAGGTTGATCCAGCAGTCGTACCGACAATCGCCCTCACGGGAACGATATTCGGCATCTTCGGAGTTCTATCCGCAGCATGGAGCAAAACGTCATTCGCCCTCACGCTGATACAATTAGTTGATGGCTGGACGAGCTGGTTTCTCTGGTTTCTCATCATCTCGACAAACATCATCATGGACCTGGTCATTGTTTTCTCTTTTGTGAAGTGTACACCCGCCAAAAAGGTCTGGCACTCCAGTCTACCTGGAACTTGTTGGAATCCTATGGTTGCGACATACTATAATATCTTTGCCGGGGGTAAGTCCTTGACTTGCTTTGAGTTGCATCTTATTGACTGCAGGAAGCTTTCTCAGGCTTAGTTGACCTCATTCTCTGCGTTATTGCTTGGACCATCATTTGGAAGCTATCCATGAGGACCCGAGAAAAAATCGGCGTTGGGATTGCTTTGATCTTTGGTATCTTGTCAGTCTCTCTGATACCACCATATGGCTATCCACTGATGATTGTTTAGTGCCGCCGCCGCCGCAGCAGCTAAATGCTACAAAATGCTTGGCCTCAGCAGCAAGAATCGAACTCGTAAGTCACACGATTGACCACCATTTTCTAGTTACTTACCACGGATATATCTCGCAGTGGATCGTGTCGGGATCATCATATGGAGTACTACCGAGTGTGCAGTCACCATTATAGCAGCCTCCATTCCCGTCATGCGTATTCTCATCTTACGGGTCTACCGCCGGACCCCCGAACAAGTATCGAATCGTCCTCTACGTACCCTTCGGATCATCAGCACGAGGGACAAGAGAGCTTCAACGAACTACACGATTCCAAGCTACAATACAGAAGAAGGTATGAATATGCAGACCGAAGACGGTCTACGAGACCTCAGTCTACCATCGCGAACAATATCAGCAAGGCAGAATGATATGAGTCTGTACGAGATTGATAGAAATGGTTAAGACGATTTAATTTAGAGATAATTATAGAGGTGAAATGACACCTTCAAACTGGTTTCATGGAGAGAGATTACTCTGGTTGACGGCCTAATTACATTGGCATCTAGGTCAGAGACTCTCGTCTTTGAAAATGCGCTTTACTGGTGCAAAGGCTTCCAGATACTGAATCTTCAATCCAGCATTGGCGACCAGCTTTATCTTGGACAACGACGGATGTTAAGAATCGACCGACAGGGTGTCATGAAAGGGAGCCGTCCGACTTGTCTCATCAGGCGCTATGCTATGTTTACACAACAATAATCTATTCAATTGTGAGTCTAGTATATGAAAGTTCAGAGGGTCGTGGTACCGAGGTTGCAGTAGCATTGGCCTCAGTCTCTTTCTGTGTGCATGGACCAGAATATTGACAAGATATAATACAATAAATCATGAGTTAGGAGTGAATGTAGCATGAAACTTATCCTGTTTATTTACTGCCCTCTACTATATCCAGCAGCTTTGTCTCATGATCAAATCCTTCACCTGTAGACTTGCCCCTCTTAAAAACAGCTGGGGCCATAACCAGACCTGGTTTGCTGGGGGCGGCATCGGGGTGATCAGCGTTTTCTTCTAGTTGGAAAACATTGAATCTCCAGATCACACGCGCAACCTGGCGACTAATCTCCTTGTCCAAAGCAAATGCTTTAGTAATAATCGCTGACAGTTGGTTTTTGAAGCTCCTCTCCCTATCCTTTATGAGGACATTGCTAACCGTGTTTATAATACGTTTGACATGATCGTCGGTCCTATGATTTATGTAGTTGTTGGCCTTCTCTACATTGATGCTAGTGAGCAACATCGATATAGTGGTAGAACTCCAGCTATGGAACTTTCTCTCAGCTTCGTGACTTGGCAGTGATGGCCCTCCCTGAGTAGTGGCAAGTAACGCTTTGACATTAATATGACAATTCAATCTGGACTGGGTGATATGTGGACTTACGAGGCTTTAGTCCATACCTGAGGTGTCGAAAGTCGTCACAGGTGTCTGCACCAAGCCATTCAAACTTGTCAAAGATTTCATGGACGATGACTCTCCAAAGAAATGCTTGAACGACTTCATGGGATCTTGTAGGTGATTCGAGATATCGCATGTATCCTTTGCGTTCTAGAGTAGTGTTATTCAGGTGGTTGAAATAGTGCGGCTGATAAACGGTAAATCGATCTCCTTTCAGAGCGATACCGTCAAAGTACTGGATCGAAAGGTCTCGAATATTGAGTCTGAGATGATTGATGAGCTCCACAAGATACTCGTCCGTGATCTGGTAGAACCCTTGTCCACTGGCTCGGAACTTATCATGCTCCATGGCGGCTTTCTTCCACAAATTGCGAAACTTTGTAACATCCTGATCTTTCTTCATGACATCTTGGCTGATCGTGTCACATTTATCCTGTGATTCTTTAAGCTTTTGAATTTTCTTGATGGCATCTTTGCTCATCATGTCACACTTTTCCTGTAAATCAGCAGACAGAACTTAGTTGCTCTTGGCACTCATCGATATCCATCAGATCACTTGGTGGATAGCCTTGCTTTGAGTGAGGCTCGGTACCGGAACGCTGTTGATCCGTCAATTCCGGGCTATCGTGGTTAGGTTTGAAAACTTCCTAGTATTGAAGTAAGACTCCAGGCCTATGGATATGTTTGACGTGAGTCTTACCATGATACCCTTCAAATGGACTGAAATGGGTTAAGATTTCCAATCATAAAATATAAGGTTTTTGAAGTCAAGGTGCACCAAAATCACACTTAAAATACTTGTTCAGGCAGAGAACAGGCCACGTCGAGGTAATCGAACAGAAGCTGCTTTGGACCCAGACACAAGAGTTATGTGACAATTCTAGCCGCTTTGCGAGTCGGTGCGATGGAAATCAGGCTCGGCCTTCTCAGAAGTAGGGCGCCTACTCCTACACAAATGATCGGCCAATCTGCTTGCTATAATTAGAATGATACACTCAGCTGGGTGGCATTGTTGTTTGTAATTTGGGCGTCGACTCGTGATACGCCACATCACCATCACATTCGGTGGTGAAACCTGTATCATGACATTTCGGTTCACAGAGTTCAGCTTGCTCGCCGCAGTCTAGAACATCTGGGAGCCTTGTAAGGTTTCAGCACGCCATTGGATAGTAAGATGGTTATGGCCGCACGCATGGGCCTAGGTCGAGCTGGCCTGAGCCAACAAGGCCACCTTGCGGGCGGCTATCAACGCCACTTGTCAAGGCTTCATAACAGGCCGACACAATGTTTCAAACTCTTGTCATCTGACCACCAAGCTGAACCTGGTCGCTCAAGCCAAGGTGTTTCCAGACCCAGGCAAGGGGATGCAATAAAACTTAGGACCTCTATCCTAGGTGACACAAAGCCTTAGGTAAACTTAGGTAAATTTAGCAAAGTTTTAGAGGATCTTGGAGTAAGTATTTTTAGCACCTTAGTTTAACGTCAGAAGTCTTCTTACACCCCGAGGCCAGGCAAGGCATTATCCTGGCTTAGGACGCTGTACAGCTGAACTGGAACAACCCCAGCCTGAAACAAGGCATTGCTCGGTTACCCCGCTCTAGACAATCATGCTGTTATACTTTGGCAGCCTGCTTCTCAATCAGCCTCCCAGAAGCAGGGAGTCACGTCTGTCACCTGGGGCTGAAAGAAACTGAGTTTATTGGCTGAGTTATTCATCGCCTCCACTATGCACGCCAGGAAATGACAGAGGCGGTAAAGAAGGCGGGGATCGTGGATCGACGAAATGCTGGTGAGACCAAATTGACGTTTGCACCGGAGCCGGAAGCAGCTGCACTTTCCACTCTTTGCGAACCCGGACGAGGGACGAAGCCTAACGAGGTTTACCTCGTATGCGATGCAGGTGGCGGTACAGTTGCAAGTCATCACTTATTATAGTACAGTATCACCTTCTAACCGGTCAATCTTAGGACTTGATTACATACAAGATTGGTTCAGTCAATCCCATTCTTATGGATGAAGCGGTTGAAGGATCCGGTCAGTTCGATTGCGACATGGTGCACTCCTAAGCTAATATCCTACAGGGGGGCTCTGCGGCGGTATCTTCATTGACGAAGCTTTTGAATACATGATTAAAAACCGCCTAGGGCGCAGATGGGACCGGCTTAGTAGAGCGGGTATCAAAGAACTCCTCAAGGGGGAGTGGGAGCTCTCTATCAAGCCACAGTTCAAGCCAACAAATTCTAGCAAGGAATATCTAGTTTCTGTTCCAGCAGAAGCATTCGGCAAGGAAAAGAAGCTCAACGACACAGAAAAGGAACCATACATCAAGAATGGTCGTATTCATTTCAGCAAGTTAGTCACCTTTTTCTAAAAATATGCCGAGCGCGCCTAACATTTATTGCAGGTCTCACATCAAGAAGGCGTTCAGTCAAGTTTTTAATGACATTGACAAGCTCATCGACGCTCAAGTGCTAAAGTCCCGGGACCAGGGACAGCCGCTCAGTGTCAGTGGTTCCTCCTCCATCTGTTTTGCTTGATTCTGACAATGGCTGTGCTTAGGGAATCATTCTTGTTGGAGGCTTGGGCTCAAGCCCTTACCTTTACGACCATCTCAAGATGCGGCACGAAGAAGCAGGTATCAAGATACTTCAGTCAACTGGAATGAGGCCGTGAATACTTTTTTTTTTAAGTCATTTTAAGCTCATACTAACGGACACATAGGCGCACGGCTATCTGTCGGGGAGCTGTTTATAAAGGCTTCCATGATGGTGCCGCTTCAGGTATCAATGCTGATGGATCCTTTGACAATATACGCTTACCTATTCGTGTCACCTCTACCATATCAAGAGCCAGCTATGGTCACGGATACACAACTCATTTCATCGAAGGCCAGCACCTCGGGAAGGATAAGAAATGGTGTGAGTTGGAGAAACGGTACAAGGCGCATAACCAAATGCGGTGGTATCTAGTCAGAGTAAGTTCGACTCTTTCCCCTCTTGAATTCATATACTTATCATATGTCTAGGGCGAGAATGTATCTACAAAGGAACCCACCTCACAAGACGTCTACAGGCTCTACAACGGCCACTTCGACGGCGAATGGGACTTAGAGCTCTTCCAGTGCGAGGAGGACCACCCCCCCTCTCGCAAAGAACAGAGCGTCAAGCGTTTCGCGACTATTGACTGCAAGACCAATAAACCACTCTCTAAGCTGAGGGACTATAAGAATGCTAGCGGGGAGACTCTCAAGGCGCTAGACTTTGAGGTCAGAATGGTTCTTTCCGGTGCGGCTGTAGAGTTTGGTGTCTTTATTGATGGGAAACGGGTCGGTAAATCTGATGTTCATATTCACTCTAAGTAGCCTGTATTGAGAAGTCGGCGTGGAAGAGGCAGATACATACAATCCGTTTTAAGAAGAACACTTCTGACTGGCCAAGCTTTATTCTTATATCTCACTCCTACTTTCCCCCGCTAGACTCTGCCTTTGGTGCCTTTAGTTCTAAGCCTTGTTAAAGTAAGCTTGAAGAACCTATTTCCAAGCATAAAACATAGGCCGCTGACGACACAAGAGTCACCTGACGAGTCCGATTGCAGCAATTTGTACTTACTCTCGGAAACATCTGATACTTTTAAACAATTGATTTCCGACAGGACTGGTCGGCGAATGCGAGGGCCAAAAAGCGATTATAAAAGCGGAGCACTGGTATTGATATGTCTTTGTCGATTGGTATTTTTATACATCTATCTAGTAACTGGCCAGACTTGAACTTGTATTCTTGTACTGAAGTATCAATCGGCTATCTAGTTCCAAGAGCTATGTTTAAGTTTGCGGGGTAAGCAACCAAGAAGCCGGCCGGTATAGCCGATAGGCTGCTTCTGTGTTGGAGGGGTTGTAAGCCATGAGACTTCCATCCGTCCGCGTCATTCATGGGTAATGGCGACTTGAACCTCTTGAAGCATAAACTCCCGCAAAGTTACTTCCCGCCATACCATTCGTGTCGCTCGCGGAACCAATTTAACAACGCCCTGTCACAATGGCAGCACGACACATTGCACGAAAGCTTTGGCAGCCCAAAGTGAGAATCCATGGTGGTGATGCAAGGTATGCTGTAATTCGCTGACCTTGCTCAGTTCCTTACGAAACATCAGCGCCGAGGTCTTGCTCTGCAAGAGCATCAATCTAAACAGCTGTTGAGGGAGGTAAGTTAATAACTAGAGAGGACTACGACAACGAGGCTGACCTACCCAAGTTCGGCATACCAGTTCAGAATGGAAAGGTAGCAACCACGGCTGCGGAGGTGCCGGAGATTATGCGTCAATATGGTAGAATCATCTCCCTTCTTACCCTTCAATCTAGTTTGCTAACTTTCAGTCTTGCAGGTGGAAAATGCGTCATCAAATCCCAAATTCTCAAGGGCGGTAGAGGCAAGGGAACATTTGACAATGGATTCCAAGGCGGTGTTAAAATTGCAAAGCTCCCAGAAGACGGCGAGCGGATATCCTCCCAGATGCTGGGTCATCGCCTCAGAACCAAGCAGACTTCAGGGGATGGGATCCTCGTTGAAAAGGTGCTGGTGGCAGAGTTCGAAGAATGCGATGAGGAGTGGTATCTCGCCATAGCCCTCGATCGCGAACGCTACTCCCCAGTCGTGCTCATCTCACGTAGTGGCGGTGTCGACATTGAAGACACGGCCAAGGGCGAGGGCGGTAGCTTGAGAAGCTTCCACTTCGACTACGCCGAGGGCATCACACCAGATCTTCTGAACCGTCTCCGCACAGATGTCGGCGCGAGTCCTGCCGAGGCTGAAAAGCTCGGGGCTATCCTGACCCGTCTTTGGGACCTTTTTGTGAGCAGAGACGCCACGCTTCTGGAGATCAACCCTCTAGCGCGCACCGGCGAAGCTGATTTCAAGTGCCTTGATGCCAAATTTCTTATCGACGATGCTTCGCAGCGACGGCAGCCCGAGCTGTTCGCTCAGCGAGATATTCAAGCGGAAATCCCCGAGGAGATCGAGGCGCAAAAGTATGGGTTGGTGTATATCAAGATGGAAGGGAATATTGGCAATGTAGTCAACGGTGCAGGTCTTGCGATGGCTACCAATGACGCGATTGCCCATCACGGCGGTGCAAGCGCGAATTTTCTCGACGCAGGCGGCCAGGCTACGCAGAGCACTATGCAAAAGGCCTTTGAGATTATCCTTCGGGACGATCGGGTCAAGGTAATCCTTGTTAACATCTATGGAGGTAAGGGATAGATTCTATATCCTGATGCCAGCTGACGAGTTCCAGGCATTATTAAATGCGATATGATCGCTGAATCCATCATTGGTGCTACCAAGGAGCTCGGCCGATTGCCTGTGCCGCTTGTTGTTCGGTTGCAGGGGACCAATTCAGCTGAAGGCTTGAAAATTGTATGTTTCTATGATCTGCTTGCAGGTGCTTTGCTAACATTTTAATAGCTGGAGGAAGCCGATCTCGGATTCCATGTTGAGTCTGAGTTTGGGGAGGCAGCGAAGAAGGCCGTCCAGCTTTCCAAGTCCTGATCCTGATCAATTGGCTTTGTTTTTATCTACCAAAATTGTGTCTTGACTTCATGGAAGTACTCAACTAACTATGTTGAAAGTATCTTGATATTATCAGTCAATATATTATCTGTATATTTATTTAATACCCATACTTTGTCTGGCGGTTTTCCACTCTGGTAGCCCAATACCAAGACCTAACGTCATGCCCGTTGGCCAGCGTGAGCCAACCATTCAACCTTGTAGAACTTGCATATTCCAAATCATATTGTATATTCTCCTAGGCTCATTCTCGTAGCTCCTGTGTGGGGTTCTGAAATGATACTTCAGAACCCAACGGACCCAATCCGTTACGGATTCTTTTAGTATGTGACGACAGTAGGTCTTTCATAACCTGTCCCATGAGCCCAGGATGGGGTACCACGACAGCTCCACTATCTGCCAAAGCCTTCGCCTTGGCTTCAGCAGATATATCTCCTGATTGCAGAAGTGCACCAGCGTGGCCCATAGTTCGACCTTCAGGAGCTGTCTTACCAGCAACCATGGCTATGATTGGCTTTGGATTCCTCGTGATTCTCCTGTAGTCCCTGATGGCTTCAGCGGCTCTGAGTTCTGCCTCCCCGCCAATCTCACCGATGACGATGATACCCTCTGTTCCTGGGTGATCGAAGAACAGCTTCAGGGCGTCCACAAGTGTCGTTCCTATAGTCTGAATGTCAGCAAAACGTTTCAGTCAGAAAACGATGTTGGCAGAGTCAAGCAATGAGGCATACCCGGCATCATATCTCCTCCCATGCCAACAACAAGGCTTTGACCCAATCCAGCATTCGATGTTGAGCCCACAGCTTCGTAACTTAGCGTTCCGCTCTTCGAGACTATACCAATAGTGCCCCTCTTATACTGCTTATGCGGCATAATGCCAATACGGCACTGCTCGGGAGCAATAATACCGGGGCAGTTCGGACCGACAAGGCGAGTTTTGGATTGAGTTTTGAGCACGCCATGGACACGCATCATATCGTGTACAGGTATATGCTCAGCGACGGTCACAACCAGAGGGACTTCTGCCTCTATTGCTTCAATGATAGCAGCAGCGGCAAATTGTGCTGGTACGAAGACTGATGTCGCCTGAGGTTTTACCTGTTCCACGGCCTGTAAAAGGATTAATAAGTTTGGCTCGGATATCAATGCTTAAAAAGTATACAGCGTCGAAAACTTACCTCTCTGACTGTGTTGAATACAGGAAGACCCAAATGCTCTTGGCCACCTTTGCCTGGGGATACACCACCAACGACATTGGTGCCATATGCAATGGTATCTTTGGCATTAAGAGTTGCCTTTCATATCATCTCAGTCAGTCACCTTCAAGGACTGGGGGAACAAGGTCTAGAATACATACTGCTTTACCAGTAAATCCTAGACGTCGACGGTCAGTCTGTAGTTGTCTGTTGGACCAATTGAGTCCATACCTTGATAGATCACCCTAGTATTCTTGTCAATGTTCAAATTGGCAATGGTTGTATCGTAGCCCTGATGCCTAGGTACGTGAGTTGATATATACTTGATGCTCTGGCGATGCAAGAGACTCCGAGACAGTCTGCAAGCGGGGGTCAAAGTTGGACGAGTCGCCATGGCTTGTGTTGGCTGGTGGATGATCTTATTGAAGGTCACTTGAGATCAGTGGTACTCTATGCTAGCTATAGTATAGTATTTTGCAGGACCGAAGTGAAAGACCAAGTCCATTGCCGATGGTCATCATGATTTCACTGGAGCTTTGGTCACGCGACCCCGGGTAAGCGGTTGTACTCCCAATGAATCGGCTCTCGGCTTCTTACCCCGCATTCAGTCTGGAGCCAGCCCGGACTAACGGTACCTAAAACAAGCCCAAGTCCTTGCCAATATTCTGCTGTAATTAATCTGTTCGACATTTGTTTTTTTCTTGGGGCGTCAGGAAATGCCATCATAGTAGTGTCTAAGATCGTCGTCTGCACAAGGGTTTTGGCTTAGCCAAACCAAGCTCTCATGAATGAAGAATTTATAGTATTCCAGTTCCGTGGCATCAGCTGGATGTCTGTTGGTTCATATTCTCTTGACTCTTTCTATTCTCTCAACCATGAATTATATTACACATAAAGTATGCTTGGGCGCCTATGATGGGCTAGGTTGTGAAGAAGTGGTGGCAGTAGAGTCGTAGACCGAGGTAGTTTTAGTAAGGGCTAGGTCCTTGGGAATTGTAACTAGAGCTCTCTTGAAAATTTGGACTGGCCTTCAATCTGATATCATAAATATAGAGAGTTAGTATTTCAGATAGTGAAACATGAAATGAAAGCAGCGCCTGCGTTCACCACCAAATGCATAACCTTATGGAGAGGAATTAGCAAGCAGTAGAGAACCTGGGGGGAAATGCCTTAGGGAGATACGCATAACATAAAGCCGATGATATAATTGGAAGTCAGCAATAATAAGACAATGTACTTTCCGCGGCGAATCATTTAGTAAAGGACTGAGAGAAGTAGTCAAGAGAGTTATGCATCGTAGGTCAGTTATCATTGGCTGATTGAGGCATCTCAAAAAAGTGGCGTCTGGCAGACCAAGAGACGTCAGCAATTATCAACAAGCGCGGTTTGCTCGTTCTCCTCCTAACTATTCGTTGGTTTTAGCTTTGCTACAGTCCTCTGCCGTATATTTTATTATCTCCATTCTTTCAAGATGGCGCAGACGTCTCCAGCATTAGAATCGCTTCCGTCACACCTGCTTAACAAGCTTTTCTCGTCATGGAAGGCTGCCATGGCTTGGTACACTTATTACCCCGCTCTAGAGTCTCAGCTTAATGCTGCAATCACCCGATTCGGCACGGCCTTGTCCTTTTTCAAGCCAGGTAAGGCATCCGCGCATATGGTGGCTTGGAGCAGAGCAAAGGAGCTCGAGCGACTCAGCCCTCGAGCTGAGATCAAAGGCCCCCTCTGGCAACCATTTCCCTTGGAGGGGCTTCAATTAAGAATATCCGTAACTCACGAACACCGGCGATCGCTTGTTTGAGTCAAACAACATGAGTTGGAGAACTAGCAGTGTTCCAGACTGCTTGTCTGGTCGCGCCGAACCGCGATCAATAGCCGGCGAAGACAACTGGAGTGCGCAAGGACACAGAGAAAGGTTCTCTCACCGGGACTACACTGTCGGTTGGATCTGCGCACTTGAAATCGAAATGACTGCCGCCAAGGTTATGCTGGACGACATCCACGAGGCTTTGCCGATCAGTCGAGAGGATTCAAACACATATACCCTTGGCAATATGGGCACCCATAATATAGTTATTGCATGCCTTCCGTTGGGTCGCTATGGCCTGACTAATGCCGCAACAGTAGCCAATGACATGCGGCGGACCTTTACCTCGATACGCTTCGGTCTCATGGTCGGTGTCGGTGGCGGAGTCCCTGGAAAGGTCGATGTGCGACTTGGTGATGTCGTGGTCAGTAAAGAGGTGGTACAGTATGACTTTGGGAAAAGGACTGGAGACAGCCAATTGCGCCCAGTTGGGAGTTTGAACAAACCTCCACATGTACTAGCGACTGCAGTCGCCAAACTTCAAGCGGATCACAGAACTGATCCCAGCAGAATCCCTTCGATCCTCGCCAATGTGCTTGTACGATACCCTGGGATGATCAACTTCACACGCTCCGGTACCCTTCAAGACCGGTTATTTGACGCCATTTATGACCATATCGAGCCTTCTAATGAGCCTATGAACCCCAAGGTTGATAGCTGTGAGCACTGCGACGTATCTAGGCTGGTACACCGACCTGCTCGAAGCAACAATGACCCCAAGATACACTACGGGATTGTGGCCTCAGCTAATCAGGTTATCAAGAATGGCCGTACACGGGATCAACTTGCAAAAGAGCTTGATGCCATCTGTTTCGAGATGGAAGCGGCAGGACTTATGGATAGCTTCCCCTGTCTAGTTGTACGCGGTGTTTGCGATTATGCAGATTCTCATAAGAACAAGCAATGGCAACCATACGCTGCAATGACAGCTGCAGCATATGCAAAGGAGCTTCTGTCTGTTATTTCGACAGATAGGATCAAGCAGAAATCAAAGCCTACCTCGTCAGTAGGCATAGGTAAGTAAACTCCGAGTAAACATGGTCTCTCATTAACTAACAGAACCTAGATCCGGTCTTGCAGGAGCGCCGAAAGACACTACTCGAATCACTACAGTTTAAGGAGATTCATTCCCGTCGCCTCGGCGTGGAGGTTGCCCATGAGGAAACTTGTAACTGGTTGCATGAGGACCCGGTTTACCAACGCTGGCTTGACAGATCGAAACTTATTCAACACCACGGGTTCTTGTGGATCAAGGGCAAGCCAGGTGCCGGAAAATCGACAATTATGAAGTTCGCATATTCTCAAGCGATGAAGATGATGGGGGATTCAATTATTATTTCGTTCTTCTTCAACGCCAGAGGCAATGACTTGGAGAAGTCGATTGTGGGGATGTACAGATCTCTACTATGGGAGCTCTTGAGCAAGGTGTCTGGGCTTCAAAAGGTTCTGGATGATGCAGACCTCATTCCATTGAGCCACTACGGCCAGCCAATGTGGAGTGCAGAAGTTCTGAGGTCTCTTCTATCTCTTGCGATAGCCAGCCTTGGCCGGCAACGCTTAGTCTGCTTTGTCGACGCGCTTGACGAATGCAATCGGAAGGACGTGTATGGGCATGATTGACCATTTTCAGACTATCGGAAAAGACTCCATTGCAAGAGAATCCGAGGTATACATATGCTTTTCCAGTCGCAATCATCCCTTCATCGACATAGGGAATGGTCAAGAGCTGATTCTGGAACATCATCCTGGCCATGAGCACGACCTAGAAGCCTACATACACAGCAAGCTCAAAGTCAAAAAGCATAGAGAGGCCGAAGTAGATGAACTGAGAAACGACATTCGCGTCAAGTCAAACGGTGTATTTCTATGGGTCAAGCTGGTGGTGCAGATGCTGAATGAGGACTTTGGATATGCAGATAGTCTTGCTATCCAGAGGAAGACGCTTGAAGAAATTCCACCTGAATTGAGTGACCTGATCAGAGATATACTAAGGAGGGACAACAAGCGACCAGAGAACCTACTCTTGTCAATTGAGTGGATTCTCTTTTCTAAGCGACCGCTGAAGTGGGAAGAGCTCTACTTCGCCCTCATCTCCGGGCTGCATCCTGATACACTCAGCGGGTGGAATCGGCGTAAAACTACCATCCAAGACATGAAGCAATTCATCCTCAGTTCATCCAAAGGCTTGGCCGAGATCACAAAGCCCAATGCCCAGACGGTTCAATTTATTCACGAGTCTGTGCGAGACTTTTTGTTGAAAGACGATGGCTTAGGGCACCTAAGACGTGATTTACAGATGGAGACGGAAGATCCACAATGTTCAGCTCATGATCGACTAAAACGATGTTGTCATACCTATATTCAGCTCGACATCTCAAGACATGTAATCCTCGTTACTCCAGTCTCAGACTTGAAACAGGATGCCGCTCTTGATTTACAAAACACTGTGTTGGACAAGTTTCCGTTCATGGAGTACGCAACTGAATGTGTTCTTTACCATGCAGAAGGTGCTGGAAGCAGATTCTACAGGAGAACTTTCTGAAAAGTTTCGATGTCAAGGCTTGGATTGTTCTTGACAGTATATTGAGGGATGTTATTTTCTTTCCAGGGACAGGCTGGAATAAAAGGCCTTTCTATACCTCAAATGCAAGCCTTATGTATATTCTTGCGAAGAATGATTTCACAAGTCTCATGGGGACAGCATTCCGCCTCGGCTTTGCAAGTAACATACACAGAGAACACCTCGAGAACCCACTGTTTGCTGCCTTGGCTAATGGTCATCGCGGCGCGGTCAAAGAGCTCTTGCAACAGGAAATGAGTCCTTCGCAAGCCGAAGAAATCTCTGCACAGCTTGTATACGGAAAGTACTTCAGCGTAAGTAAAGGCTATACGCCGCTACACTGGGCAATACAGCGGGGTGACTTACCGCTCGCCACGATCCTACTTGCATCCAAAGAAATTATACCTGTTCTTTCAGGCAGCGATGAACGTACACCCCTATCATTAGCGGCTGAGAATGGCCATGAGAGTATTGTGAGACAGCTATTGGCGATTGAGACCGTTCAACTTGATCCGAAGGACTACATGGGCCGGACACCATTATCGCTGGCTGCTATTGAAGGCCATGAGAGTATTGTGAGACTACTGTTGTCAACAGGGAATGTCAATGTGAATTCGAAGGATTACTCTGGTTTTACGCCGTTGCTCGGCGTCTTGATGAGATTGGCTCGAGCCCAGAATTCAAGCAGCAAGGCCAGTACAGCAGCAGAATACTCTAGGAAACTGACCATAACGAAGCTTTTGCTTGAGAATGGGGCCAATATAAACGCCAGAAACAATTATAGTCAGACGCCACTAATATATATAAAAGAAAAGGGACTTTTAGATATTCTTTAGCTTAGGGTGTTATGGGAAAAGGATTAAGTTAAACTGATTAATGCCTAAAGCTTATAACGCCTCTACAAAGCATATTAAGCTAATATACTAAAAGATCCTATTTAACTTTAGCTTTTAGAAGGCAATATATATATAGCCTTAATAAAGATAAGTCTTTTAATAAAAAACAGAATAATATACTTTTATAATAACTTAATTAGTAACCTTATTAGCAGCAGCTTAATCTCCTAGACATAGTTACTAACAGAGTTATACGTAGTATAAATAAACACAGTTAAAATTACATTAAGTTCCCTCGAAAAGGGGGATTAAGTTAAACTGTATAGAGATTTATAATAAAAAGATAGAAATAGTCAAGGAAGCAAAAAGAGAAAAAGAAGTAATGCTCCCCCGGGAAGGCTCGAACTTCCGATCTCCCGATTGTCTATTAATAACAGTCGGACGCTTTAGCCAACTAAGCCACAGGGGAAATGTTTTGACTGGGTGCTAAGAATCTTAGCGCGACTCATACTCACTAGCGTCCGCTGCGCCTACCCTGGGCATTGTCATTAACTAGGTACTGAACAGGTTATGTTTAGTTGTTCATCTTACATAGCAGAGATACAAAGCGCTTGAAGTTTATTCATTTGTCTCACGATAATGGTTAAAACACTCCGATCGCAAGAACTCATAGTTAACCTTTGGTTCAAACCGCAGTTAGTCGTTTTCGCTGTGAGAAATCAGAACAACGTTTAGAAAAAGCAGCTGTTTCGTGAGAACACATAGCTTGTAATAATGAATCGAAGTTCAAGAGATGCGAATCAGTTCTATTAACCTACTAGTATAAATGCCTTATTCTACCCATTGTGAATTAGTCTTTCCTACTTCATATCGCATCTCATCAAGAGGACTCTGCTTCTTCACAAACCATAGTCTGCTTCCACTTCACACACAACTTCACAGACAGCCTCATCACCCTAAATGTCTTACTTCACTGTTTCAGCGACAGCTTCTGAAGCTAGTAACAATAGCCCTGCCCCCTCTTTTCAGGATGAATCATCTCCTATATGGCCAACCTGTAAGTGTCGTGACGCGAAGCCTTACAAAACCAAGCGCACACTCATCAACCCCGAAAATTGGCTTGATGAGGTTTCCGACTCCGAGGAATCTCTCGTTGAACACCCCCCAGTTGCAGTTAAAGCCCTTCGTGCAAGACAATTCTTCAGGAGAAATGATGCTTTGGGTGCTGATACAGGCTCCTGTCTTGGCGTGATCAGCGACTGGGAGGCGAACAAGCTCCGATTTAGCCTTCTTTATGTGATGCAGCACCTGTATGAAGAACGCGAAGGAGAGAGAAAATACCCCGCTGAGTGGGAAGACAAGACCGCCTTCACCTCTTGGTTTGAGAAAACTGTCTCAGCTTGGGTGGAGGATCTTCCAGAAGACCAAAAGGCCTGCATTGGAGCACTGGCTGACATCTTGGAGGATGATCTGGCAATTGATCTTGATGACAAAGCCGGTTGGGAGAGGCAAAATACTCGAGTGGTCAAGTACCTTGATGGTTTTGATCCTATCTCTGAAGAAGTCCAAGGACTCGAACAATTGGAGCTAGAGGATAGGGCATGTTATGAGTGCTCACGACGCTATGCTAACAAGGCGTTGTGGGTAGTTGTTCCCAGTAGTGATGAATCTATGGAATAACATTCATGAGAAATAACTGTATAGTTTGGGTACTTGAAGTCCTAGGAGCTAAATTGATCTTATTAGATGCATGTGCAAAGAGCCCGTGGTGTATCATATTATGTGAAGCAAATGAACAGACGTGTAATGTCTAATTTGTGAGCTAGATGTGTTATTTGCAGTTGGGACTTGTGGCTGAGAGCTTAAATCAGCAGACAGAACTTAAAACAGACACTTTCAGAAGTTTAAAGACTCTCCTTTGAGATATAAAAATTTTGCAAGCCGTCTCGAAGCCAGTAGCCGTAGATCTATCATCTATTCGCTTACGTCTGGCGATTCTTACAATCACTAGTTCAGCCCAATCAGCAACCTAACACAAAGCCGTTCAAACTATCTTGCTGACATTCATCACCTGTATTCGAAGCCTAAAGCTTAATCTTATGGGTGGCAGTCATCCACATAGTAATGTCTCAGCAGGTTGGGAGCCAGATGTGCTATTGGCGGTTTAAAGATAACTTACTTGACTACCGTCACGGGTATAAGATCCTCCAACACATGCACGACGATAATCCAATTCAATGCTATACGGAAGAAGGTTTGGAGCAACCAAAAGGTTATTGCTCGATTAAGTTCATGAGTCAGGCGCAAGGCTAGCAAATACAGTTATACTTTGACATGACAGAAGTTCAGAAAGTATCATGCGAAGAATAAACGTGCTCAGGCAAAGTGTTTATTTACCCATCAAGTATAAAAACCTCTCTTCGCCCGCCCTGAGTATCCTTCCTTTCCTACTCCATCAGTACATCGATCATTTCATCGATAGTACTACACATCATCTAAAGCCACACCTTACCACACAGTATACGCACAACTCTCACCACATCAATCACCCAGAATGACTTTTCTCACTCTTTCAGTCCCAGGTGCTGGCGGTGGTCGCAGCAGCCCTGATCCCTCTCTTCCAACTCAGTTGTCTCTTATAGACTGTCCCAACCTTACACCGGAGATACCCGACAATCAAGAAGACGTCATGTCTACCACCAACGAATCCTCTTCCGAACCAGATGCAATTCCCCCAATCCAGTTCCAAGCCCTTCGTGCTCGACAATACCTCAGAAAGCACTACACTCTCGGCAAGGACTCAAATTATGGCCAAAACTTTTACCGCAACTGGGAAACAGTCAAGCATTGCTTCAGCTTTCTCATCATACTGGCGAACTTGTACAAGGAAGACGAATATGAAGAAGATTGGCCCCTGGAGTGGAATGATGATTGTGCCTTGACTTTCTTCCTCGCCGGGACTGCTGCATCCTGGACACTTGAACTTTCGAATGCAGAAAGGGAAGAGGTTAAAAGACTATCTCACGCTATGGCTGACCTGATCACTGTTGATTGGAGCGATACGGAAGCTTTGGAGGTGTGTCAGGATGAAGTTGCAGATATCCTTGCGAGTATTACTCCTGTTGAGGAGGCGGACATACCAGATGATTACTGATACTGGCGTGTTGGGTATGGGAGCATAAGTGTCGGAGTCGGGTAGCTTCGGCTGAAACCTCACTTTACAGGGCAAGTTGGAGTTTGCAGCAACAGATTTATGGATTGAAATGCAATAGAATGGGAATTACACAGCGGTTGATTATGTTGGAGGAAGCTAAATTGATCTTGTTACATTGTTTATTTCGTCAGTGTATCTCTCTGGAACGAAGAAGTGTAAGACGATATAAGCAAACGAGAATAACATTTCGTCATTCATAGACATCGTGAACCATCTTGCCATTTCTCGAAGCCAATAGCCATGAATCCATCTTGATCAAACTAGACTCAGTTGTAATCACCAGTTCAGCCCAATCAACAGCCCAATACAAAGCGGCGCAAAAGACCAATGCTGCCACTCCCCATGCCCAACAACATTCCTTGCCACTAACCCATCAGTGACGCACATAGCCAGCGCCCCAAGATACCCAAAACTCATAAGCTTCCTATCCCCAGTGAGGCTGATGTTAAAGAACAAGAAGCTAACGACGAGATTTCGACATCCGTAGATGCGCGCAAGGCCACGAACAAGCTTTTTAGCTTGGGGGTCTGTAGGGATAGGGTACTGGAAGGACTGGAGGGTTGCTTCGGGGCGCGTGAGGAGATTGATGCCGAAGAGGGCGGGGATGAGAAGACACGACGTGCGTTGCGCGGTTGAGATAGATGAAAGACATGATGAGATGGTTGTTTGATGGGGAGAATACGAGGGTTTGATGCTGTTTTAAATGGAGTTTTGAGGAGATAAAAATTACTGGAAGGGGAAGGGCGGAGATGAGACAGTAACTCCGTCAGCTTTGAGTGTCAACACTAAATGCCAGCGATCCTACCAGTTGTCTCACGTAAGCAGACAAGACACGATGAAGCTTCAGGCTAGTTCATTCAGTTAATCGGCAAGTTAATTTTAATATGCTATATCTCATTCTGATATAAAGACAACTCACTTGATCTTGAAGCTGTGTTACATTCATGTCAATTCGCGTAGAATTATATCGCAGTTAATTACGTGACACTCTTGCCTCTGTAGTGCCAAACACCTTCGTGAATCCTTCCTGCGCCAGCGCATCGTGTATATCGCTAATCCACAGCACCCTGCTTAGTATTCCCCGACATTGTGTCCACCTACTCACACCAAGAATATCGCATATCTCTCGAATAGCCTGACGATGCCATATACGGCCAAAGTCCTCAAAAATACAACCCCCAGCGATGAACAGCGCCCAGAGCAAGAAAGTCGAATGCTCTCGACTTGATGGCACGAATTGCTGAAGCGCAATCTCCAGATTAGCCGATAGGTAAGCCATTCTTCTCCCCACCCCCGGAAGACTAAAAAGAATGCTCTTAATATATACCAGCATACAAAGCCTCATAAGCTCACTAGTCGATTGCGCATCGTAAGAAAGCTGAAGTAGCCTGTTCGGAAGAGTCGTGCTTATAAAGATGAACAGCTCTGGTGGTATAAGCGCGCCTTCATTTGCTAGCCGGCTATAGTATTGCAAATCGGTCCAGATGGAGATTAAACGCCGATCTGGTGTCAATTTTCGGGGGTCGAGAAATGTAGACTCTGGAGGGGGATGAATTGCAAATATTGGCATAAGTGAATCCCAAACTTGGATGTCGGGAAGAAGGCGTGGTTTTCTCCCTTCTGTCATTGATAGACAGATCTCTATCCTGTTCACGTTAGCAATACGAAGCGGTGATTAAGAAACAAGTACCTTTGGCACTTCATCTCTGCTAGCGCTGCAGTTCCAAACGGCGATATCCCACCACGAAGTTCAAAAATTTGACATAGGCCATCCATATGTTTCCTCGTAGTCTCAACATCTCCAAAACTAGACGCCGCTGAAGCTAGATTAACGATAGCCCCCACCGTCGCCATAGCCGTTGCGGTGCTTTCGTCTTGAAGACTCTCTTGAATGCAGCGTAGTGTCTCACCAAGATGATATCTTGTGAGTACGCTGAACTCTACACCTAGGCAGACTTCTTTGAATGCTGATGCTGTGAAGAGTATTGAGTGGAGGGATACTTCGTGCGTGTGCATGTCGCTGAGGCTAAAGATTTGAGACTCGCATTCGTGAGCGACTTTCATGTCTATGGCGTATCGACAGGGTTTTGGCGTTGTGAAAGCTGATACTTGCCGTCAGTATCTATCTGGCTGACATAGAGTTTGTGAGAGTACCTTGATGTATTAACTCCAGCATATACGGCTTTAGCTCGAGTTCTGATCGCTGTAATACAAGCTCTGGTGCTAGCTTTCGCGGGATACTCATCGTTGACAGATTATCCTTGTCAGACTTCTGGCCATTTCGTGGTTCTGCTGTCGAAACGGTCTCCGGTACTGATATCTGAGATGTATTCCTATCAGTCTCCATGGTATGAACCGAGCTCTTGTCGGGGTTCATCCGCTCTTGGGCCCGAGCTAGTCTGTCCGCACGTGTATTCCTTCCACGCATCGCATGACTGCGGATCTTTCTCATGATATTCCTGTCAGGCTTCCCAGATGACGTGGTAACCACAAAGATGGCCATTTCAACAGAAACGGGTCGGCAAATATGCCAAATTAGCTAGTCACATGCTTTGCTTCTGAAGTTCTTTGGCCTCGATCCATGTTGAGAGTAAGCACTTTGGGTATAAGTTCCTCCGGAGTTCTTCCGTACCATATGCTGGAAAGGGTTTAGGGGGCTGTTCTTGATCGTGATTGGACCTGTTCAGCATCAACTGTGGCTTAGCGCCAGATTGGCAGTCGACATTTCAGCTCAGTCCGTTAGTGACAAGCATTAATAGATTGACTGCCGCGCCAAGGCCGTACCTTTTTCCAATACGGGAGTAGACTCTTGCTTCTAAGCCTCTTATTAGCTTTAAGTCCCTGTGAAAGCTAAGAATGCCTCACAGTATGACCCTGCAATACGGCTAGGTCTTGTATAAATAGGCTTAGCATCCTCTGCTGTATCTATGTTTGAGCTTCATTCACAGCTACCCTCAATCCAAGTCGTGCATCCCTTTTACTTTTCCAATCGCTCCATATTTGCCTACTCTTCTCAACACAATGTTCTGGTCCAAAGAACAAGACTTCAACCCCAAAGACATGCCCTCTCTCGAAGGAAAAGTCATCCTCGTCACCGGCGCCACCGCAGGTCTAGGCAGAGAATCCGTCCTCCAATTCGCCCACCACAATCCCTCGCGCATTTATCTCTGCGGTCGAAACCTAGAAAAAGCACAACTCGCAGCACAAGATATCCAGCGCACTGTCCCATCGGCCTCCATCAGACTCCTCCATCTTGATCTCTGCTCATTCGCTTCTATCAAAAAAGCAGCGCGAATCGTGCTCTCGGAATGTGAAAGGCTTGATATCTTGATGCTTAATGCAGGTACCATGTTTGTTCCTCTTGATCGTACTGCAGACGGTTATGAGATCCAGTTTGGGACGAATCATATGGGTCATGCGCTGCTTGCGAAATTACTTATTCCGTTGCTCGATAAAACAACACGTTTACCTGATGCAGACGTGAGAGTTGTCTCTCTCGCATCTCATGGACATGTCTATCTTAAGAAAGGCGGGATCAACTATGACACCCTCAAGACTGATGGAGAGTCGATTGGTCTCTATCAGTGCTACTACCAGAGCAAGCTTGCCAATATCCTCTGGGCGCGCCATCTGGCCAGGAAGTATCCGCGTTTCACAGTATCTGCTATCGATCCTGGGCTGGTGAACACGGAGTTGTTGGTGAAGGCCACGGGGATGGTTTGGTATTTATATGCAGTGGTGAGATGTATGTTGATCACGCCTGTTGCAAAGGGCGTCAGGAATCAGCTTTGGGCGTCGGTTGCGGATGGTGTCATTAGTGGAGAGTACTATGAGCCAGTTGGGAAGCATGGTTTGGCTAAGGAGGAGGGGCGAGATGATGAGTTAGCGCAGCAGCTTTGGGAATGGACTGAGAAGGAGTTGGCCGCGGTCTTGGACTAAATGCTTTCTATGCTCTGTTTTCTTTAGTAATTATTCCATAATTTATAAAAGACAATACGTAGTCTTATGAGCTTTGAGAAACACTTCCCTAGATTAACTAGTCGTCAATCTCTGTACATCCCTCGAACTTATCATATCCCTAACAACCTGCCACCCAATGCTCTGATTCTGCATCTTATCATACTCCCTCCCCATAAGCATACACCACTTCTTCAAGAACCACGGCGCAGCCTCCCAGCTCTTCATGTCCCAAGGCGGATACGTATCCCTCCCACGCTCACCCTTCTCACGGTTCAGTCGCCATATCGTCAAGCCGCCTCTTTCGTATATATCCAGCTTGAGTTCCCAGTTATTAAAGGCATGTGGCATTGCAGCTGATAGCATTATAGCTCGCTCGCGTAGAAATGGAATAGGTATCAGATCAAGACTTGTGTGATGAGGTATGAGGATTTGTGCCATTGTTGGACGGAGATGAACGGGGATACTGGTGTTGTTAAAAGTTGACAGGATGTTGGAGCCTGCTTGTATGAGAGCTGCGTGATTAAGTGTGGATGAGAGGTTGGGTTGGCAGAATGGTGATATGTGTTCCACGCTGCAGTCTGCGATGACGGACGGGTCGAGACCTAGGGATATTGCGTTGGTGAGACATGATGTGAAGATGGCTGCTGGTGCGAACTGAAGCATGTTCATGTAAAGGTCTGGAAGGTTCGGCTCAAGCTTTTTAACAGATGTGTCGATGGTTTCTGTGACTTCTTCATCCAATGGGTATATCTCCCCAATTGAAGTCTTTTGTTCGGAAGAGTCTCTCGGTGAGGGGTTCTCTCGTTTTAGAAGAGGTCTTAGGCGCTGTCTGGAAGTGGCTTGGGCTTGAGCCTTTTCCTGCTTCAGTCGTATCCTCTCTTGTTTCTGCCTCTCTCCTACAAGGTCTTGTTAGTAATTCCTATGGGACAAAGGACGTGACATACTATATGCTTTCTGCGCCTGGCGATTCTGCTCTCTCCGCGCCGTAGTCAGAACACGACGCTTCGATGGGGCGTCATCATCATTGCTACTCGTCCGCTTTCGAGAGACAGCGTCCTCCCTATTGGCCGAACCGTCTTTCGCTGTATCAGTCATGGCCTGACTAGACGTGGCAGGGTAAAATTATCTCATTGGAGCATGTCAGAATTGAGATATTGGTTATTTGGCGGAAGTGCAATGATGTTAAGTCCGAAGTCCGTGGGGGCGAATTGGCTTACGGTTTTTGAGCCAATTAGAAGCTGCTACGCCATTAGGCGACATTGGCTTACGGTCTCTACGCCAGTGAGCAAAGTCAACACCAAGACGATAATTAATACGCAAGGAGATAGAGAAGCCATAATTAACGCCGCAATGTGTATTACTATAAGTATCAAAGTAGATCTCACTCTGAACCCATCTCTATCACTTCATCACGGACCAAATCAACTCCTTCTTCTTCTTCATACACTCTCATCATGTCTACCAAGACCATCGCAGTCGTCGGCGCCACAGGCACCCAGGGAGGCTCAGTCGTCAGAGCATTCATCTCCCAATCAAATTGGCACGTCAAAGCTCTCACCCGCAGCTCAACCTCAGCCAAAGCCCAAGCCCTCCAGAATCTCGGAGCCGAGGTCATCGAAGCAGACATGAACAACCAAGAATCTCTCATAAAAGCCTTCGATGGCGCTCACGCAATCTTTGTCAATACTGACTTCTGGGCTCCTTACATGACCGCTCTCAGCCAAGGCAAAGACCAAGCTACAGCTCAACAAATCGGTTATGATACCGAGGAGCGCCATGTCAAGAATGCGGCTTATGCTGCTTCCAAGACATCTACCCTTGAGAAGTACATTTACTCTGCTCTTGGTCCTATTAAGGATGTTTCGAAGGGGAAATTTTCTCATTGCCATCATTGGGAGACCAAGGCTGCGGCTGTCAAGTACATTGAGAATGAGATGCCTGACTTGGCTAAGAAGACGTCGTATGTCTACATGGCTGCCTACGCTACGAACCCTTTTTTATACCCCAAGAGGGATGCTGAGACTGGCGAGTATGTCCTCGCGGTACCAGCTTCCAAGAATCTCAGGTTGCCTATCATTGATATCGAAGGCTCAGCTGGGTCTTTTGTCCGAACTCTGGTCGAAGATGAACCCGCTGGAACAAAGCTTCTCGCCTATGACAGTGACTTGAACATCATGGAGATCATGGACACTTGGAGCAGAGTTACCGGCCAAAAGGCTATCTTCCAGTCAATGACCGAGGAGGAGATGCACAAGGCTACTGGTCTGCCCTACGAGGTCCTTGACGGACCAGCTTACCTTGATGAGCATGGATACGTGGAAGGCGTTGAAGGAGCTATCGCACCAGAGCAGTTGAGCAAACCTATCAAGACGGATAGTTTCGAGGAATACCTCCGCAAGCAAGACCCAGAGACTTTACTGTCATTTACATACGCAATGCCGGAGCCTCCGGCGGCCAAGTAATTGCGCCGGGGAGCGCCAATTGTTGGGGGCGAAAGGTCTTCGGTGCATGCAGTGGAGGGTAGCATTTCCGAAGGAATTCGGTCGTATTTCCATAGCATCTACATCATAGGCCAAAATGCGAGAGCTGAAATAGTTCCCCGAAATTGACCAATTGAACAAATTACGCCAAGTCCTCGTTGTAACCCCAAAAACAAGCTCCGCCACGACAAGCCACGGAAAACGTCTTCCCGCCAGTCTCTTACAACTGCCGATAGCCCAGTCGTACTTGAGATCGCCCGACTTGCTGTCATCTTAGCTCTGGCGGGCTGTGTAAAAAGGTCCTTGCAGCTTATGCCAAGCCAGAGCTCGTGAGCTTTTGTTGGCCTGATATGGTTAGTGGATTGTTTCCTAAATGAAAGGATCTGCGCTGGCATTTCATCTGCTGACTTTAAGAGGAGTGTTTGGGGCAGAGTACCGCTGATAGGGCGGTTTGACGAGGATCTGTGCCGTGATGGTGAGATTAGGTTATGCCAATATTGCGATGGACTTCTGAGTTCATGATGCGTTGAATCACTTTTAGCATAGCATGGCACAAGCATTCGCTGTCAGGTCTATCACTACACTTTTTGGGGGAAGGAATGGCACAGCTGAGAGGAGCATGAGGACCCAATCGTTTGTGAGCTTGAAGTCTTCAAATTTTAACGGAGACAGGCTGTCTGAGTACTAAGCAACAATTACAGCCGCCATCATCAAGAGTCCGTAGATGCAGACAAGTCTCAGCCCAGTGCGTCAAGTCGAGTCATTCAAGCAAAGGAAACGAGTAATGGACCCCAATCTAAAATTACCGTGCTCTATTCCTTTGTGGCGAAGCATCGCGAGCTTCTACTCCACTGCTCGTCTTAATCGGGGTCTAGCACGGCTCCTCCCGCGGCCGCCGGAGCCTCAGGGTAACCTCTTCCTTGTCTTCCGTAACAAGATCCTTATCTAGCCGCTTATCGAAGCGATCAACCTGATGCCAAGAGCCTCAGTGTAACAGCAATCATGCTCGAGCCCGTCGCAGGATTCACAAGGTTGATTAATTATTGATAATATGAGTAAACGATCCATGTTTAGGTATTCACCCCATCATGCCGTCAACATGATATAAACCTCTGCTCTCAGCTGGAGGAAATACCCTCTTCACTCATCTCATCTCCATTCTCTCACAATGAAGTCCACCACCGCCATCGTGGCCCTCGCTGCAGCCGTTCATGCCTCTCCTCTCACCAAAAGAGATGACAACAAGGTCACCGACGTCTGGGAGAACAGAGATACACTCTGCAAAGGCTGGGTTCTCAACACACCAGAGGAAGCTGACACGCTCTGGACGATGAAGACCAAAGCCGGCGATCACCTTGATAACTTCCTCCGTGGACAATGGGGTACGTTTTCCGCCAGTACACGAATGCAATAACTGACCAACAGAACACCAAAACAACTGGCTCATCAACCTCGAGGACCGAGTCTATCGCGGTACAGATGGAAAGTCTGGCGCCGCGGGCTGCAGTGTTCTCGATAATGATTGCAGCCCAATGAATAACATGGAGTGCACGGAGCAGTATGACAAGTACGGTACCGACGACCACCTTAGCAAAACGTCGTACTGGATCTTCCAGGCTGCTAAGGGCATGCACTCCAAGTTCAAGGCGCTCAAGACAAAGATTACAGAGAAGACTATCATCAGCGGTCTCAGAATCGGTCAGATGGTATCCGACTTTGGCGGCAATGAGGACGACACTGGCGATATGGTCAAGTGGCTGGCTTCAGCTAGTGCAATCGGCGGTGCTCTCAGTGGCCTCTCCGCGAATGTACGTAATCCATCTCCCTGTATTGACAGGTATCTAACCTCAGCAGCCTGGCTTCGGAGTAGGTCTTTATCTCTTTGGCGGTATCTTCTCTGCTTTTGGTAACCTCAAGCAAGAGGAGATCGATCAGGGCAGCATCTCAGCTGGTTTGGCCGATCTATTCGAAGCAGCCGTCGACCGACTGGACGAAACCATGCGCATTGTTATGGGCGGTGGGACAGAGGAACAATATAATGCACTCAAGACGCCCAGCCCAGATCCCTATAAGCTTCCCGTTGCAAACTTCTTCAACGGCGGCTTTTTCCTCCTCAACGACAACGCTGAGGCTGTGCGGCTTGCCCTCAACTCTGTCTACGGGAACATCCAGCCCAAGGTAGCCAACAACGTCATGAAGGCTGCGCAGTTCTACCTCGTTGCCGATAAGCGCCGTACAAGCCGTGAGGACTGCGGTTATGCGACTGGCCGTCAGTGGATGGCTCTTCGGGAGGGTGAAGAGTACTGCTTCTACATCATGCGTTACGATCCTAAGCCTAATCGTGTTGGGGAATGGACTGAAGTCTCGGGCGAGGTGTATGACAAGATGGCTAGCTATGGTCTTGGTAACAGAGAGGTTTACTACCGTGCTATTCTGGACTGTGCGCTTAGTCCCAATGACGATGTTGACCTAGGGAGCTTGGTTGGTGGCAAGATTCCGACCTGCTACTTTAATCTTCCTGCTGTTTACGTTGATCAGGATCGAGAGGTTGGATGCGGTGATCCGTTCACTCCTCGTGAGTGCGATTACATCAGTGCCACGAATATCGAGTGAGGAGATGGCATTTACTAGAGTCATTATTCATCTTGTATATATTCAATGCTTGTAGTCAACGTCTAAGCTTTAACCTCTAATGAAATATGCTATGTCTATGATATGCTACCTTGATCCTTTTCAGTAAGATTCTAGAAATAAATAGTGTGTCTTAAGATCCTCTCTTAAGTCTCCTCTTAGGTTTCCATCTCAGGCTCCATGTTAAGCCCTCTTAACACCACTTCCCCTCGGCACCCTGAACAACCAGTAGAAACCCAAGGCACCAACACAGTTAACAAAAATGTACACCCAAAGAAGTCCAAAGTGCCACCATCGATCATCATAGTTAATGTTGAACCGATGCAGAAACTCATCCGTCGTAGCAAGCGAGCAGTACTTGCAGACATCAGTGGATGAGCGATCAAGAAGATAACCACCAGCTGCCTTGATGAAAGGGCCCATGTAGTCGCCGCAGGTCATGTTGCCAGGAACAGCCATCTGCAGAACCTCATTGTCTGCACACTTGACGTTGGAGCCCCAGACACAAGTTGACATGATACCGCCGACGATGTAAGTCGCTGGAGAGACACGATACATGAAGGTCCAGAACTTGGGGATGTCCTTGTAAGCGACGCCAACACTATAAAAGTCAGTACATGCGTGATAGATCGACGGAGGGATGACTTACCCGCAGAACGAGATGGAAAGCATCCACAGCAAAGTCGCGATGACACCAGCTTCTTCGGCGGTGGCGATACAAACGATGGCTGCGTGGGAGAAAGTGCTGGTGAAGAGCATGAACATCCAGAGGTACAAGAAGACAAGGAAGCCTCGGATGGCTTGGTCGTCGGATGTAGTGTTGCGGACGAAGCCGACGGGGTAGTACCAGGTGAAGTAGATGAGGACAGCCATCAAGGTGTTCCAAGCTGCTTCTACGATGATGTTGGACAAGATGTAGGCTGGGAACGGTTAGATGATGCGAGGCAGTGAGATGGTGAGGACTTACTGTTCCAGCGGTAGATCTTGGAAGGTCGCTCGCGGACTTCGTATAGGTCGCGCTGAGGTAGAAACATGGGCATGATCTGATCGCTGAGACTCTGGAAGAGAACCATGTACATAAAGATGGCGTAAAGCTGGTTCTGCAAGCCCTGGATGGTGTTCTTGGCTTCAAACGTGAATCCGATATAAAGTGACTACAACTGTTAGCCAAAGCCTCCTCATGACAAGCTCAAACATACCGATAAAACGATCAGTGCGATCTTGGACCAGATATAAGTAGGCGATCTCCAGAAATGCTTCCAAGTCCTGATCAACACCTCCCGAAACTGCGTCGAGAACGACGCCACAAACTCCTTATGCTGCGACGCATCACCGTTCTCCAAGGCAGTTGCGGCTGATCCTCGTGTAGCAGGTAGAGAGTTAAGACGTGAAAGCTCCTGCTTGACTTCTTGGAACTCGGGTGAATCTCTCCAGATCTGGTGCCAGTCGATCTTCTCGGCTTCTTCATCGTTGGAGGGCTTGATGATCTCGAGCATGTACTCTGCGGGGTTGGCGTCTTCTGGACAAGGGGGTGCGCCGTTACGTTCGAAGTAGTTGAGAAGGGTTTGGCATTGCTCGCCGAGATCTGGGGATATTAGTGAGGTTCAATGGAGGTGATGGGGGTGATGAGAACGTACCGCCGAAGTAAACTGTCTTTCCACCGGGTGCGAGGAGTAACAGGCGGTCGAATCTCTGGAACAACATCGCAGAAGGCTGATGGATCGTACACAAAACCGCTTGTCCACTAGCCGTAAGCTTCTCAATAAGATCGCAAATCGCCCAACTAGTCTGTGAATCCAATCCACTAGTCGGCTCATCCAAAAACACCAACAACTGCGGTCTCGCCGCTAACTCAACACCAATCGTTAATCTCTTCCTCTGCTCAACGTTCAACCCCTCGCCCGGCGTTCCGATGACAGCATCTGAAAACTCCTGCATGTCCAACATGTCGATGACGTGCTCTACATAGGCGAGTTTCTCAGCACGGGAGATCTCGGCGGATTGGCGGAGGAGGGCGCTGAACTCGAGGGCTTCGCGGACCGTCATTGTTGTGAGGTGGAGGTCCTGTTGCTGGACGTAGCCGACGCGGTGTTGGAAGGAGGAGTCGGTTGCGAGGCCGTCGATGTGGGTGTTTCCGGATACGATGCCCATTGTTACGCGGGTTGCTAGGACGTCGAGAAGGGTTGTTTTGCCAGCACCAGACACGCCCTGAGGAGTCAGTTGGGTTCACAGAGGAGCTGTGGGTGAGGGAGACGTACCATCAAAGCTGTTGATTTGCCGGGCTTGACCCATCCGTCAACGTGATCCAGTAATCGGCGGTCCTTACCCTTGATCTGGATATCGTAGCAGAGATCTTCCCAGTGAAACACAGAAGCACCAGCAGTGAGTCCGCTGGAAGGGTTGTTGTTGGCCTTTTCAGCGACGACAGGTCGATCAGTCGCTTGAGTCTCGATATCGCCGTGGTCCTTCTCAAAGTTGGAAGGCATACGGCCCTTGCGGAAGACCAGAACCTCGCCCTTGTTCCTGGGAGGCTTGGCGTGCTCCGCTGCGATAATGTACAGGATGAGGAAGCCGAAGAGGAAGCCAAGAAGGATACCGATGTTGCTGTGACGAGTCAGTGTACGCCATGCAAGCGAGAAGTGTTACATACCGCCATTTGTTGGAGTTGTAGTACTTGAAGGACATGTTAATATACCTATCGCCATCGACCACGGACGATCCAGGCTCGGCACCAACAACAGAGCAAATACGAGAATCGGCGGGAAGGTCATCATACCCCGGCCCCTGAGGAACCATACCCGCACAGGCAAACTTCCGATTATGGAACTCACTCGCCATCAACGCCTCAAAGGCATAAGCCAGAGGATTGATGTAGTTCATCCATCTCGACCATCCAAGCATGTAATCCGTCGGCATAGTGAAGCCCGTGTAAATCATAAGTCCCAGACTCAGAATCGACACGGGAATCATGGCTTGATGGGTCGTGCGGGTGACGCATGCGAGGGTGCGGTAGATACACGACATGACGAGCGTGGTGAGGTACGAGGTAAGACAGAAGAAGAAGAAGTGGCCTGCGTCGCGGCGGAGATGGGCCATGAAGTAGATGAGCAAGTTGAAGATGATCATGTTGACGGTTTTGTAGGGGAGGTCGATGATGTAACTTGCGATGGCCTGGGCTGATTGATGGTAGAACGCATAGCGGTTATGCTTCTCAACAACAGGCCGTTCAGCATAGACAGTGAGGACCTACCCATGTTAGTCCCTAGACCTGAATGTTAGGACAGCGACATACCTCAAGCTGACTCGCAAAAGCATTAAACAACAACGCAAAAAAGATCAATCCCCCACGATAGTAAAAACTCGAACTATCATCCTTCAAATCATAAAACATCGTCCCCAAAACAACCGCCATAATAAGGTTAAACACCAAACTCGCAATCGTAAACCCCGGATCAGCCAACAGCCGCCTCCATCCTCTCCAAAGGGTAAGTTTCACCTGTGCAGCGTACGAGATGGTATAAGGAGACTTGGCGCGCTGGTTCTTGAACTGTTCGGCGCGGCGCGAGGATTTGTATTCTTCGAGACGTTGGGAGGGAGGGTGGTTTGCTTCGTAGGCGGTTATTTCGTGGAGGAGGGCTTTGCGCTGGGGGCTGGATAGCCAGCGGGAGGCGAATTCTTGGGGGGTTCGGGGCGCGGTGGAGATGAAGGCGGGTTTTACGCGGCGTTCTTGGGGGGAGGTCATTGAAGTGAGGAAGTCGGGCGTTGTTTGACGATCGGGGCCTTGATGGTCAGCTAGGCTTGAGATACGGGGAGGAGTAGGGGTCGTACACTCGAAGCCGAGGTTCTCAAAGTACTGCTTCGCTTCGTTGATGCGGCCAAAGAAGATCTGATGGCCTTCATACAACACCGTAACACGATCAAACAACTACCCTCGTTAGTATCCTGTCCGCGAGTATCATGTCATGTCAGGGCACTTACATCGTATGCAGACTGCGGCGCCTGATAAATCGCCACCGCCGCAGCAACACCAACCAGATCAGCCTGCAATCTCAGATTCCTACAAAAGTTAATCGCATTCCCACTGTCCAGTCCTCTTGTCGTGTTATCCCAGCACTGCAACTTCGCCCCTGTAAGCGCAGCCTCAGCGATACTAACGCGCTTCCGCTCACCACCGCTCACACCACGCACGAAATCGCTACCGACGCGAGTGTCGACTGTGTGGCTTATGCCAAAGATGGCCATCATGACATCGCGCATCATGGTGTCGGCTTGAGAGCGAGTTACACCGCCGGGGACGTGTCGCGGTGAGTGGGCGGATGAGGCGAAGGAGAGGGTCTCGCCGACGGTGAGATGGGCGAGATGGCAGTCGATTTCGGCGTTGTAGAGGACGTCGCCACGGAATGAACGACGGATGCTCTTCTCGTCGATACCTGAACTTGTTAAGAAGGTCTTTGAGATGATGGGGGCGACATACCTCGGAAGTTCATGTAGGAATCAGGTCCGACTTCGAGACCAGCTGTCTCACCGGCAATAGTCTTCAAAAGCGTTGAACATCCTGAACCCGGCGGTCCAAGGACAAGTAGCAACTCCCCCTCTTCAACAACACCTTCAAAGTCTCTCAGAATATCAACCCTTCTCTTCTTCACGCCGCCCACCAAACCAGCAAGATACTTGACAACATCAATAGGATAATCAACAAGAGTCTTCTGATGTTCCGCCCCAGTACCCCAGCCGTAAACATTCAAGTTCTTAAACGCCACGCCTAAACTTCGCGGCGGCGCTGCTCCAGCGTCAGACTCGACTAGTCTCACAAAAGCTTTTACCCAAGCTCTTGGATCAAAGGTTGGTGAGTTGGGGTCTAGCTTTGTGCCGGGCTGGGGTGAGAAGGCGTGAAGTTCGGTGCCGGCTGTTGTAGACACGCGGGACAGTTGACGGGCGAGATGGCTGATCTGTTGGGTGATATCATGCTGAGGTTGTTCAGTTGGTGTATCGGCTGTTGAGTCGGAGTGTCGGTCGTCGTGTTTGCTGTGAGAGGACAGTGTCCTCGAGAGTGGTGTTGACATTTTTGATGAGTTTGTTTGAGTAAGATTGACTCAATTGAGACAAGAAGGTCTATTTAAGCTAAAGGCATAGTATGCGGTTCAGTTATGCTTATGTATGTGCATCAATCAAGATCCAAGAACGGCAGATGAATAACTCAGAATTAAACCGATTGAATCACTCGGTCTTTTCCAGAACATGACGAACGGAGTCGGGAGAGGATCAAATCTTTTACGAATATTACCTTTTTTCCCCCGGGTCCCCGCGGACAATCACCCCATGAAATGCCCCTTCTATCAAATCGACCCGGCCCGACGGACACGGACGACGGTTGTTATTGGTGAGGAAGTGGATTCGTTACCCACTGTATAAGGAACCCGCGGGTGTCCGAGCATGCATGACTGACATCTCGCTTATGAAGAGGAGCCCTGATTCGGAATAGCTTCACGGAGCGCGAGTTTTGCGTTTTGCGGCTCTGAATGAGTGAATGCCATGTACCGTAATGGATGGCTGAGTCTGACAATTGGGTTGAACGTGATGAGATCGGTCTTTGAGTTTCATCTGGTCACGAGGCTATGTATGTGCATCACGATGTAACGCGTGTCTTGTTCTGTGTCGCTCTTCGCTGTCCGTGTGACGCGACAGCGAAGAAAGAGTGCGAGCCGAATATACAGGCTTAATTGAGCTCTCGGTCTTTGTCAGTTATTCCCACTTGCCAAGAGTCTGGATTGATAAGATGTAAGCCACATTGCAGATCATTGGATGAATCTGTTTTGACAAGGCGGGTAATCATACGTTATTTCTTAGTCTGACTGTGTGCGCGATGCAGAGAATGATCGGGCTAATTATCTGCCGTGATCGGAGAGATAGATCTGCCGTCTTAAGGCCCTGTCTTTGGGTTTATTTGTGGTCAGTGCGGAAGACGCGTTACCCTATATGTTTTGTGATGGAAATTGCATCGCGGAATGGAACAGGAATTGGCGCTCTGTTTAAACGGTCAAAGAATAAAACTGAGAGTATTGACATTGGAGTAGAATAAAGCCGCGAAGTTTTGTCTTTGCACGACGCGTCCGTAATCATGAGGTTGTGCAACCCCAATTTGACTCAAATACAGTATTCCCATAATTCAACAAGATTTTGAAGAACAGCATAATTTAACTGCCTGCAGTGATTATCAAAAGAGTAAAAAACTATCATGATTACAAGACTCTTATTGATATACCTTATGTTTTATAAAAAAGCACACCTGTTATTGCTCTGAAACTCATCGCCAGCAATGAGGACTTCATTATGTGTTAAGCCTATGATTGGCCCAGGTACATGCATACTGCAGTTAGCCAAACCGTATTCCTCTTGCTAGCATATTGCCTGGCCAATCAGCTTATGACTCCATGGACCGAGGTTAAATCTGCCATTGGAATAGATAAATAGAAAAATCTATAGTGACATTCCACATGAGATTGATACATTTACACTCTTTCTTTATTTCTGTAATATGAGTTTGCTGTGATGGTTCTTGCAGAAGAAGTGTTTAAGAGAGGATGCAAGCCGTAAGATATCGGCCGCGGATAAGTAATAATCCGTCATCTTAAGATCATTCCTACAAGACATCTACGGTGCCTTCTTGTCCCTCCATAACAGGAAATGTAAGCCTTGACTTTTAATATCCGGAAAAATTCTAATTGAGCATCGTGATACAATGTCAATGCTGCTAGCTCTGCGATGTCACGCAACCACGCTGTTGCATCACGATACAATGCATCTTATCGAGATAAGCACAAGATCTTAGATCCACTCTTGAAGTAGCCGAACCGAGGTAGACCCACTTGATACCGAGCTTAATCACCATTATTTGAAGCCATGAGCATCTCCTATCACCATCGCACCCTCTGCTCAAAATACTCCTTACATCTAATCACACCCAGGTAACAAGATGGCTCCAACACTAGCAGAGCAAGTGGCAGTAGACCAAGTCTCCCCTGGAGAATATGTCTCCCGTCTTAACCCCATCAGAATGGGCAACGCCATGCCCATAGCCTACGGCGGCTGCACAGCCAGCATCGCCGTCAACGCAGCGTGTCAGACAGCACCGCCCTCAATGTCGCTGTACTCTGTCCTCGGACACTTCCACGGCCCAGCATCAACAGATAAGAAGCTGCACTGCAGCGTGACCAACATTCGAGATACGCGATCTTTCGCGTCACGAAGGGTTCAGGTCAAGCAGCAGCAACCTAATGGGAAATTCCGCGTTTGCATGGAAGTCCTCGCGGATTTTCAGGTTATTGAACCTTCGAGCTGGGATTACTCTGAGCCGACGTGCTCCAAGTGGCCGAGGGCGGAAGATTGTCCCAATCTGGACGACTTGGTAAAGGGATTATTAGAAAAGGGCAGCATCACTGAGAAGCAAGGACAAGAATTCACCAAATCCTTCGCCGCCAACGCAGATTTCTTCGAGACGCGCTACTGCACCGCCGGCGTATCAGCCCAGAACCTCTCCGGCGCATCACGCACCACCAAAACAACACAAGACCACCTCCCCATCACGGAAAAAGTATCCGCCGAGTGGCAGCGCGCGCTGCACGATCTCCCCACGCCCACCGCCAACATGAGCGCGCTGGCATTCCTCATGGACGGCGGTCTCTCATTTCTCCCGTTGAGCCATAATCATATGTGGTTTGATGATACGGCTGCGTGTTCGACGCTGGACTTTGCGTTGAGGGTCTTTGTGCCGGAGGTTAAGATGGGGGAGTGGCATGTTAGAGAGAGGAAGACGAGTAGGGGAGGGGGGAATAGGACGTATTCGGAGGGGAAGCTGTGGGATAGCCATGGGAATTTGGTGGCGAGCAATACGCAGCAGTCTATTATGAGGCTAAGGGAGGGCGTTGCTGTGCCTAAGCTGTAGAACTGATTTTATTATGTACAGCAAGATATTAATAGAGTAGTAATATGTATTTTTCTCAAGACTGAGTTCTCCTCCTGAGTCTGTATCATTTTTAGTCAGTGTCGTCACTGACGAAGGGATGCCGCCAATTAGCCCGTCGCGCGGCAGCGTTGCGAATGTCTATCTCACGTTCACGTGCTACATCTGTTGCAGCCTGAGGAGGGGTTTTCCATGACAGCTCGCTGTTCCCTTCGCCATCTGCAGTCGTGCTTGCGGTATATCCAGGAGCTAGATAGCCATACAAGTTCAACGGAGCAGAATTCCCAAACCCAGCGTGGCCAATCATGGATGCCAGTGGAACTTGTCCGGTCGTTATCGGGGGATCTCCCGGAGCCATTACGGCTTCTGGCGCTCTGGGACCGGCGTCAACGATCGGAGCATTTTGGTGTTCTCGCGGCTGGGGCCCGCTCGGGCATGGTACTGGGAGGTCATTGCTCATCTGAGCAATAGGTCTGAGATGTGCACTCGAAGAAGAGATATCGGGATTCTCAACCGTAGGAGTGTTTGGTACTGGAGGATGAAGGACGCCGTTGGCATCAAGTGAGGGATAGGAGTTGTGAACAGTAGGTGTGTGATCAAGGCCATTCCACTGATTGACCGTCTCTGAGCCGGCCGAGTTGCTAGTCGTTTGCGCCGTAGCACCATCGGAAGTTTCTTGGGTCGTCGGCTCGGTCTTAACCCGTGTCCCCTCCTCCGTCCAGTCATCGTATTGAGGCACCAAACCGGATCCCTCTTCAGTGTCGCTATCATCGTCTGGAATCTCGATCGCTAAACGCATGCATGAACCCAACGGTGGCTGCTCGACTGCAGCACTCTGCTGCTCATCTGAGACATCACGCGTCGCCAAGTCGTCACCTTGATGTTCTGTTACGCACACGATTAGCCACGTACTTTTGCTTTTCGATTGACTTACCTGCTTCTCCCGAATCCTCCTCACCGTTCCTCAAACGGTCTCTATCCTTCATGCGTAGGATAAACTCGTCAACCTTGTCTTTATGATCAATCCCCTCGTCGTTAGGATCATAAGCGCGGAACTCGTTGACAGCGACCCAGCCAATGGCGCACTCCCACGGAAAAACAGGTGCGTCGAAGTACATAATCGGATATTTGCGCTTTTGGTGGTACTTTCCGCCAGGCCGATAGTGCTCCGTCCACTCAACCGCCCCAGTAACAGGATCGTAATCATAACAGGCAGGGATGTTCTTCTTCAACAGGCTCGTGTTATCCATGAGATTCATGTCCCAGCCAAACTGCCGAAAACTACCCCACGGCAACACAAGAATAGCAAAGAATCGCTTCGTCTTCTTCCAAAAGGTAGTATACACCTCGCCAGGCTGTGGATCGATCCCAGTGAGGAACTGTGTACTTCGTGTCTGAGGCCCATCGTTGGAATGCGCCGACCCGGCTGAAACACTGCTGAGAGGTCTACCATACTGCGCGTACGTAGGTCTCTGCGCAGCCAGATTATTCAACTTTACTTTGCCTTCATCGCAGTTGGTGACTCTTGTTCCGAGCAGACGAACTGTCTCGTCGTAATTGGCGTTCATATGGCCGTGTGTTCCAGCGGTCAAGTGCCTGCGAGCTCCGTGGATAGGGTTGTTGCTCATGAAGTGCAGTTTGTGGTTCTTACACTCGAGGATATACCAGAAGCCCTTGTGTTCTGTAATTATGTATTTCGTCGCGGCGTTGCCGTCTTGGTAGACGTCATCGAAGTCGATGGCTCGGTCGCCGGTAAGAGGTCCTCGCGGTTGAGGCGCATTCGATCGGGGACGCTTTGGAGGACGGGGGAGACTCCCTTGAGGGGGATTTGCAGGCCGCTTTTGTTGGGCTTTCGAGGATTGTTGGCTTTCGTCTTGAGGTCGGCTGATCGTGTGTGTCTCTTGACCCCTCGATGTTTCGGCAGTAGGATGGATGGGAGCGGACTCGTTCTGGGCTCTGGGAATCGGCGGGCGGACCGCCTGTAAAACAGGGCTTGCATTGGGCGTAAAGTAGGATGAGCTTGGGGCCACCTCGGTTGATGGACCAGCGGGAGCATCCAAGCGAGCCGAATCGTTCAAAGGTAACTGACCAAGTTGTCGGAGTTCGCTGTACACTTCGCCACTCAGTTCAGGCCCGACAGTAACGTGCAACTCCAAAAGAAGAGCCTTCTGCTGTTCCCGGAACAACTCCTGGTATTGACTCTCTTCATCGTCCTTGTTTGCTTCACGCTCCGCCGTCAGTTCCTTCAACTGGTTAATACAGGATTGGACGGCATCCAGTCTAGCTGTATCAGGTTCAAGGCATGCTGAGGCCGCCGCCGCTTCAAATTGTGCTTGTGCCTCCTTGTACTTCTCTTGGAACTTCTCTTCAGGCGACTTTGTCGGACGTCGCAGAGGTGTCCACTGGTCGATGAGCTTTTGGACCGGAGCGACTCGTGATGAATATCGTCCTGGGGGGGGACTCGTGGCCGGGGCCGGGTTAGCCTGCTCCGCCATTAGGGCGAGCTAACTAGTGGTACTATAATTGAGTTGAAGAACAATACGCTCACCAGCAATATCGCCAGAAACAATTGACACGAAAACGACTTTTCGACAGACAGACGCAGCAGTCAAGAAATAAATGAAAAGTCGAAAGAAGAAGAAAAAGGAGGCCCCTCGTGCACGTTTCTGCTTTTTTGTTTCTTTTTCTATAATTGACAGCCTGATTCTATGCACATCCAATCAAAATATTGGTAGACCGGGATGTCTGCCGCTGACCCTACAACCAACAACCAACCAATTCTAAGCACGGTGAGCATCCCTGCAAACTCGTCAAGTTTTGTAACGGTGGCTTGCATGGTAATGGTTTAGGCTTGTTGTCTCTTGTCTAAACGGTTGCCTTGTTGTCTATGCTTACCGTTGCGAACCGTCAAGCGGTGAGATAGTGTGAGGCTGATTGCATAGGCCGGGAGCTATGGTCAACGCCACGAAAAATGTGAATCTGATGCAAGATGATGCTCTCACGGCGATGAAAGTTATTGCAAGAAGATGAGCTCAATCTACAAGATTATTCTTAATAACCCTCCAATTTGATGGTGCTTTTTACATCAAGCCTTGGACTAAATAGCTCGCGATGTGCTGTTAGTTTAATTGTGTGAGCATGCGAAAAGCACTTCGCACTATTTAAAAACACTCCCTGACACTCATCGTTTGCACACGGGTAGCAGCATAACATGAGGGCTAGAACACGGAAGGGCACGCGAAAAAACCTGCTTTTCAGCAGATTTATACTCAAAAGTGACAAGCAATTTTATCATCAAGCTTGGCGACATGTTTTCTCCCGCTGATGGGTGTGTAGACGACAGCCAATACAAATCGGGAAAACGGCGGGTATATACTGTCACCTCTCTGAGTGGGGCTTCCGTGAGGTCATATCTATAGGAAACTACAAGAGGGAATTTTAAACAAGCCCTAAAAATGAAGACTCTACAAGGTATGAATTTCCTCTTCCCTTGAATACAAAATGAATATCTCTGCAGACATCGTGTACTGAAGTAATCAGACTGCAAGACTTGTTCGTTGCGCCGCATTCGCTGCGACCGTACTACCCCGCATTGTCTGAAGTGCACGGGACGAGGACTGTCCTGTCCTGGATACAAACGCCAGATCCGATGGGTCAACTCGATTGCGAGTCGTGGCAAGTTCAAGGGATTTTCAGCACCTACTCTTGAACCAGCCACTCCTCAGTCTCCAGAAGCTGTTCCTAGCACAATCCAATCTCGCACTCTTGCCCAAGACGGACTCGATGAGCCATCCCAAGAAGCGGTGAATCAGTTGTTAGAATATTTTACACTGGAGCTCGCCCCGAAGAACGTATGGGTGCACACACCAGAAAATGGGTACACGCGCCTCGTTGTTCGCCTGGCGCATACACAGCCTGCCCTACGGTATGCTATCATTGGGCTATCGGCAGCTTATCAAAGCTATGCGTCAGCCAGCACAACAAGCGGGTTCTCACAAAAAGCTCATCTCAAGGCTATCACATTAATCACTGATCAAATCCGAACGTTGACTAGCATGGAAACCAATGGAAAGCACACAATACCTACAGGGCTCCAAGAAGCTACCGATGCAGTACTTGCGGCTACCCTCGTGGTATGCAATCACTCTCTCCTAGACTGTAGCACGGCTGATGCAGTTTTCCATTTGAGAGCTACAAGAACCCTGATAAAGTCTCATCTGACCAAAGGAGCTACTGACAATGAACTCTTCACCTTTATTGCGAATCAAGTCGCAAGTCTTGACATAATGGCATGCACTACCCTTTTTGATCCCGATCTTGTGCGAGATGTAGTTATGCCCAGACTAGATAGTGGCTCAGTTCCATTTGGCCATTTTCTACTAGGTATACATAGAATCACCACCGCCTCGACATCGTCAAATAGCGAAGGAATTCCTTGTGGTGACCCCAGTTTTCTCGAAGAGCTCGAAGACGAACTTGAACTCGCCAGAGCAGCTACATATATGGTAGTTGGACGGACATTAAAACCTTCCAGAGACGCTCATCTCTCGGACACAACTCTTCTTATCGAGGCCTTTCATCAAGCTGGGCTGATATATGCTTGCAGACGACTTGGTGTTGGAAACATTGGGGGCTTTGAAGAAGTCCACCGCTCTAAATTATTCAGGCTACTCAAAAAGGCCATCAATGAAGGGAGCTTTCTACCAAGTTTGTCATGGCCTATCTTGATGGCTGGGATTTCTTGTCATGGACACCATGACAGGATCCAACTTGTCCGTCAACTGTGTCACGATCTGGCCAGGAGCTCTCCTTTCCGATACTACTCTAACATTCTGCGCTTTCTTGAGGAGCTATGGGAAAGTTCAGACGATAATTGGATTCTTGTGGCTCAAACGTGGGAAAATAGAGGTGAGCCTCTCTTAGCAATGTGAGTGATATTACTCTTTAATGAGTGGGTTCTATGTTACATATGGTCGCGGGGAATTATATACTTGTGCTGCTTTTCGAAGATTCTCTCCTCGTTCTCCCATGCTTCCATGTGAGTGGATATATGCCAGTCTGTTTTGGTAGCAGTCATCTCAGCTCGGCCGTCGATTGCTAACTTGAGATCACCACGGCCAAACTCTTGACGAAAGACCTGCTCAGCGCGTGCCGAGAGGGGATCGTCTGGTCGAACGTGGCAGCTGACTTTGGTTGTTCCACCAAACCGCCAACCGTTGTCTTGATTCTCAAATAATCCTTCGTCATTGTCATAGACAATGGTGACCTCGTCAGTTTCGAAATCTCGCGTGATGCTGGCTTTGGCCCCAGTAGGACGCAGAACAGCCGCATTCAGCGGTGGAACATTTACCGCTGGTTCAAAAGGTCTCAATTGTTTGTCCAGTGGGCTTTCTTTCCGCATTGGAATCTCCAGTCGACTTGAAGAGCAATCAATCGTCAAGGTTGGGGCCTCGGGAGACGGCCAAACAACAGGGAAATATGCAGACGATAGAGCAAGGCGAAGTCGGCTCCCTGCACTGATTCGCTGACCACATTCGTTCAACTGGATCTTGACATTATAAAAATGGCCTGGCTGGAGGTCTTGCAGGTCAACGTGACTATCTCGGTGGGTGAGGTTCAGTAGACCGTGCGACAACTTTGTAACGCTGCCATCAGCTAAGACTTCTGATAGCACTGCTGCAACAAAGGCCCATCTTTTATCACTAGCAACACGCAGATGAAGGTTCGCAGGACCGAGGATATCTAAGGCTTGGGTGAGAATTGGGCCGTCAAATACCAAGGATCCAAGCTCTTCTTCTCTTTGGTCGCCCGGCATATCCCATTCTGTACCGTAGGAAATCCATCGTCCTGCAGCGAATCCAGTAGTCTGAGGTGATTTCAGCGTCAGATACTCCACATTCTGAGGGGGCGTGACAAGGAGCTGCCCTGCTGCGAGCCCCATATACATCCGGTCCAGGCTGTCAGAGGGCCAGTTGATCTCGGCAACCCATCGCCCAGGACGATGGCTGTAGAGTCTCTTCGGGCCAATAGTGTCGTTCAGGTAACACCTGAGCATAGGTTCTTCCATGATGTTGGTTTCAATACCCTTGAGCCATTTGTCCCACCATCGGAGAGACTCCTGCAAAAAGCCAATCTGGGGACCTGGCTTTGCAAAGTTTGGATATTTGTGAGCCCATGGTCCGACTAATCCTTTCTTTGGGCATGTAAGATTCTTGAGCATCCGGAAGATAGAATTTGAGTATGGATCATGCCAACCACCCACGAGGTAGACAGGGCACTTAACGGCAGTATAGTCTTCGCAAATAGAAGCATGTCTCCAGAATTCATCGCGTCTTTGGTGTTGATGCCACTCAGCAATATATGGCGTTCCAAGCTCAAGGCGATCCATCCACATTTTCCGCCAGTTGTTTCCAATGAGGGCAGGATCTGGTGGTGTAGGAGCAATAGAAAACATAGTCGCACCCCAGAGAAAGTTCTCGACCAGCTGGCAACCTCCCTGGTAGTGAACATCATTATCATAACGATCATCAGTTGAGCAAATCGATATAACAGCTTTCAGTTCAGGGGGATTAAGAGCCGCAATCTGAAGTCCATTGAAACCTCCCCAAGAAATACCGATCATACCAATAGAGCCAGTGCACCAGGTTCTTGATGCAATCCAACGTAAGACTTCAAGGCCGTCATCCTGCTCTTGTTTGAGGTATTCACCCAAAAGAAGGCCTTCAGAGTCTCCTGAACCGCGCATGTCGACCCGAATGCATGCATATCCGTGTGATGCAATGTAAGGATGATTGAGAGCATCTCGATGACTGGTTCCATCACGTTTCCTGTAGGGGATATACTCAAGAATTGCAGGTACTGAATTATCCTCAGCGTCTTCTGGGAGCCAGATTAAGGCTGAGAGGGTAGTTCCGTCACTGAGTGTGATTTGTTCGTTCTCACGAATCTGGATAGGTAAGGGCGCAGGAGACATAGTGACGCTGGAGGATGTTGAAACCAATAACCTGTGTATTGAAGAAGTCACTGATAAGGAACAATATGAGAAAGAAATGCGAGGGAAGGAAAGAAGAACGATCAGATGTTGCGTTACCCATTGTCTCGGAATAAACAGCCTCTCGTTTACGCTAGGCCGTTCATTATCGGGATACAATGCCCCCCTCAGTGTCGGTATTCTGTACTAAGGACCTCGACAATTCGCGGGTAGAAGGTGCATTTCTCGACATAATGTCTTGGATTGGTTAGCATAGAATAGTCAAAAGTGGTTCTCTTTTTAATACCCGAATTAGGCCAATGCGTATCCGTAGAGAGATGATGAATCTATGAGTTTGAAAGTATAGATTAACAAACCAACAATGAAACATTTGTTTCTCGATCGAATATCTCAAATGGGTTAGCATTGGCTAGTATGGAATAGTTCTCTATTTGATACCCTAATGGGGCTAGCTCACAGTGCGGTATAACCTGGGGTTCTCCATTTAATACCTCTAATGAGCTAGAACGAAGATATCATTCTGTGTTTTGATTCGCTCTTCCTAATCAGCGTCACTATCTAAACAGATGCCGACCTCGCTAACTACAGTAGCGTCGATAATGGGGCAAACTTGGGATGTTGGCCGATAATTACTACAAATATTAAAAGGATGCTGGCTGCCCCATTATCCAGCAACGAACCAATACTAGGCAATATTGTAAATTCCTTAACAAATCAATACTTACAATGGAACTTGTCAGCAACAGTCAGAGCGTCTCACAACATCCCCAAAAGGGAGATGACGGTCCCAAGACTCTTGAGGTTACTGATGCCCAAAGTGTCGAAGCCGGCCATCTGACCGAGACGAAAGTCAGCAAACTCTCGGTATGGGTCACGCTCAGTTTCATGTCAATTGCTGTTGCCTCGGACTCCTAGTAAGTTCATTTGTTCATTACCCGCTTCCAATTGGCTGGCACTCATGATGGCTTTTTCTTTCAGCAACGCTTCAGTAATTGGAAGCGTCTCACTCTTGTTTGATGTCATATACCCAGATGCCATGACTTCATCCATGTACTCTCGACTCTCGAATTCCTTCCTTATCGGAATGATCCTTGGCATGATCCTCTTTGGTTTCATCGCGGATCACTATGGCCGCAAGACTGGAGCTATTGCCACCACTATTATCCTTACAGTTGGGATGATACTCAGCACCGCCGCTAGCGGAGCAACACATACGGGGTTGCTGTGGATGCTGGTTGTTGGGCGAGGTGTTACTGGAGTGGGCGCTGGAGGAGAATACCCTGTCACCGGTAAGTTTCCATGTGCTGCCTGTCTGTTGAGGAGACACGAAGAGTTGCCCTGACACCAATACCTGTAGGCGCTGGTGCCATGGAAGCCACAGATGAGGCCAGCGGATTCCGCAAGCGACGAGGTTTCATCTTTGCAATTATGAGTGAAGTCGCTGCCTCCCTCGGTTATTGCTTTGGTGGTTTGGTTCCAATGATCTTACTACTCTGCGTCCGCGAGAAGCAGGAAAAGTACGAACTAGTCTGGAGGCTATCCTTTGCTGCCGGTATGCTGCCTCCTCTGAGCATCTTCTACTTTCGCCTCAAGATGGCCGTTTCCACGGCCTATCGCAAATCAGCTCTTCAGAGGCAGAAACAGCCTTACCTGCTGATTGTAAAAAAGTACTGGCGAAGACTTTTGGCAGGTGGTTGGACATGGTTTATCTACAATTGGATCTCCATTCCATTTGGAGTTTTCAGTTCAACTATTGTGTCTAGAGTCGATCCGGGGAATTCTCTGGTTACCTCTTTAGGTTGGGGAGTTCTGATCAACTCATTCTATCTCCCTGGTCCATTCCTCGGTGGGTGGCTAGCAGATAAAATCGGCAGAAAGCAGACCATGACACTGGGCTTCCTTCTTCAGGCTGTTCTCGGTTTTATCCTGGGAGGGGCATATCAATCGATAATAAAGATCTTCCCTTTGTTCATCGTTATGTACGGCATCTTCTTGACGCTTGGAGAAGTCGGCCCTGGAAGGTAAGCATTTTGCTCTCTCAAGAAAGCCGAGTATTAACAACAATCTAGTACCATTGCTCTTGTTTCTGCCGAACCATTTCCAACATCGATTCGTGGTCAAGCCAACGGGATCATTTCGGCATGGGCCAAAGTTGGAGCAACACTGGGTACTCAAGTAAGTATTGGCTATCTGTGCCTAAACTTAGAAATACGGCTGATTTGAAAAAGGTATTTACAGCGGTCCTTAATCGTTACACTGATGACGTTGATAAAGGTAATCGGGTTGTCTTTCTCATTGGCTCTGGTTTCGCGGTTGTCGGCGCAGCCGCAGCATGGTTTATGCTGGAAGAGACAAGTCGCAATCTGGATGACGAGGATGAGATATGGAAGACATATCTTAGAGATAACAATTGGAGTGGAGATTGGGGCGATAATGAGACTGTGGAGTCTGCTAGAGTGTTAAAGTAAAAGACCTACTAGAGGAAGCAACCTCATATAATCATTCTCTATTTTGTTATATAGGATACCTTCAGTTGTTGAAGTTGTTGTGATGTAATACCTAAGTTTGTACTCTTCAGCGTGTCTTATTATCCTATACATGCACGGGCCACAAGCCCAGTCAACGAGGCTGGAGGCGTTCGCCAAGTTGTAACGTTACTATTCTCATGAATGTAGTGAATAAAAGTCCGTTTGCTATTATAAGGTATCTGGCATCATTGCTTGAAGTAGAGGCAACTCAAAAGAATGTCATGTTCACACACTCCGCCCATCATCAGATTTATTCTGATGAGCCAGCTCCCTCAGGCTCTCTGAATCCTCTGACCTCGAGTTCAACATTGTCTTGAGTCTGCTCCTCCTCCTTCCACGCTCCTTATCAGCCTCCCACGTCAATTCATTGAGCCTTGTCTTCGAGCCTCAGAGTCCTCTCTCCTCCAGCAGCGCTTTACACGCCGCCCAAGATGTAACAGCGTAAATAACCGCGTTCCAAAATCCCTGTAGCGGAAGAACCGTTGCGCTCATGAACTGCAAAGGCTTACTAACCTCTGACGGATGAATGTGGGAGTACATTCTATTAGCACTTGACGGAATCCAGGTAATTAAAATCACCGCAAAAAACAGCATCGCGACTTTTGTATAGGCCCATGCCGCGCGATATACATCGTTGCTGGGCCGCACCGCGACAGGTTGGGGCATGGTGCTGGTTACACGAGCAATCGGTTGAGGTGGCTGGGGCTCGCCAATAGCAAGCACGGTAACTTGATGGCCCATGTTTTGCAATTGTATAGCGTCGGGTTGGGTTGCTGCTTCGGAGGTGATGGTCACTTCGGTGGTCTTCATGTTGTTGACAGTGCTTTGGTGGGCGTATGAGAGACCGCCTGAGCCGGAGCCCTGCGCTTTGAGGAGTTGTTGGCGTTTCCGGTAGATGGTGCCACCGGAGCGGATGTAGATTGCGAGAGTGATGGCGATTATGACCCTGTATTGTTAGTGCACCGTAAAAGCTGTGAGGTAGGTAGATGTACCAGATTGGGCCGTAGAATGTTGCGATGCGGAGAATGTCCCATGATGAAGTGACCAGCACCACTGAATAGCGCTACCGTAAACTCTCACGCCGTCGCCATTCTTGATAAAGATAAAGACGAATGCCGGCAAGAATGGGATACCATAACAGAGCAATAAATACGGCAACTCCATCTTCCTCAATCGCTGCGCATCGAAGCGATAGTAAAACGCAAGGTAAACATTAATCGCCATCGCAAGGGTCCACAACGCATCAGCCCCAACAAAGCTACACAAATTAGCCAAGCATCGCGATATCGATTGTGCAACGTACGTATGGAGTAAAAAGGCCTGTATCTGACATCCCGCCCCATCAGGCGCATCAATAAACGAGTCCGCCATGATGAAGCAAATGCTCGCCATGATATCCAAACGACGCGTAAAACACAAGCCGATTAATAGGTTTGTGGAACGCGTCGCAGAGACAAAAGGTTGTGATGATGAAGAGACATCCTACCAGCGATAGAACAGAGCATACTTGCTGGATGATGGTGATGAGCTTGACATCGCTGGTTGACAGGCCAATCTCCATTTTGCCAGCCAAGAAATCCCTAAAAGGACATTCATATTTTCCTCCGAGTGGAACAAGCCATTGTCTGGGTTTTAAGTCTGGGAATGGTGGCCTCCTTTCATGTGAATTTGCCGAAGGATTGATCTGCAACAGGGGAACCCCATATTTGATCGCCAAGAAGAACCCGGAACGTTGCAAATCATGGACCTAAAGTAGCATAAGGCTTAAATAGTGGCTATTGGTAACGGTTCCAATTGGCGCTGTGTCAAATTTGGGTGGGGAGCCGGTAGATGGCCTCGGGGAGCAAGAAAACACCGGACCTTGATCTAGGGTACTAAAATAAACTTATTAAAGATCCCCTAAACTAGGCTAAATTTACCTAAATATTTTTATTGCTTAGGGTTAAGGTTTTATGTTTTCTTTCTTCCCCTCGGATAGCTTCTGATTTTAAGGCTGTTGTTTAAGGGATCAGCGTTGGTGTTGCTGGATGCAGGAGGTGAACCAGAGCGATGCAGAGTGATATGAAGATCGGAGGGATGGGCTGTGAACAGACTTGTGAAGCTTGCCCTTATCTGATCAATTAACGCGGCGAGAAAAAGGCTTAATCATGAGGATCATCGGTGCACCAAGTCCCTGTAAAGGCCCTTATAGTGATGTTTCATCGCGCAAGAAGTATGCGCCCACCAAACATCTTCCTCGTCAACATAGAGTGGTCGACGTCGATGCCTACAATAATACAATAACACCTGATTACAATGCGAAAAAATATCTCTTCTACCCTGTCAAGGGGATGCAATAAAACCTAGGACCTCTATCATAGGTGACAAAAAGCTTAGGTAAACTTAGGTAAAATTTAGTAAAGTTTTAGAGGATCTTAGACTAAGTTTTAGAGGATCTTAGACTAAGTACTTTTAGCACCTCAGTTTAACGTCAGAAGTTTTCTTACACCCCGAGGCCTGTCTATGAGCTGTTTTGACTGACTCGTGCCTGAGACGCGGTCAGCCTGATTTTCGTTTTACCATGCAAGTGCAAAACAAGAGCCTTTCCCCAATTCGGCAGGTCAGCAAGTGATATTCCCGCCATCTACGCAATGCTTATGGATTTAATTATGCAATTCGCACAGACTTGTCGGAATTAGCTGAGATTGTGTAATTTCGAGCGCTGAATGTTATGGGGAACGGCCGAGGCGCGGCGAGGATGCTCCGGTAGAGGTGACCTGACAGCTGATAGGATGCTTACGCCGCGTGTCTAAATCATCATATTTACAAAGATCCTTTTGCAGGGGATGTTCCGAGTTACTATATGGTTACGCTATACTTTTGTAGTTTTAGGTTGTCATTGCTTGTAATGGACCAGTGAATGGCAGGGAGCGCGCGGATCAAGAGAGTTGCCATAGGAGCAGTGACTAAAGTACTTGGCGCAGGAGCAAGCGAAGCCCCTGTAAGATACCACTGAGGCTTACTGTAAGAGCATGCCCTGTGCTTTCGCCTGAGGAGCTGGAGTAAGACGCGGGTAGTCTCCATTAGCACGACTCAAACTGACAAAACAGGTCGGCATCCAAGCATCACGAGCATTTGTTTCGGCAATTATCAACAGGGTTTGGGTAAGGGAGATAGAGATTGACATGAGGCGCTCGTAATATTTGTTGGACTATGTCAATTAGGAAGGTTACGTCTCTAAAGTCGGCAATTCGATGTACAGGCACTCAGAGAGGCGCTAGTACGGCGAGCTACAAATTTTATATTCTATATATATAAACTCTAGTATAAAATGCTAGCATGGTAGAGAATCTATTCTGCGTTCTCTAGTCCAAGCGTGTTCCATTACAGAGAGCTGTAATGCGTGTGTCTAAGACCGATACTGGTCAGCTAATGAGTCGGACACGGAACTGAGGACCATCGAAGAGAAGTCGAATGCCATGTTTCCGTAAGGTGAGATAACTGATATTTCTTCCGTGTAAATGACTCATAACCGTTTTGAACTTCTATTCCAACCTGCTCAGGCCTTGTGCGACCCAACCAGCCTCGTTCATCTGCCTCGCTTAGTCATGCGTACTTATCTTAAGAACTGCCACGTCAGCGTAAGCTCGAAACATTTTCAACAGCTACAATCATCTTATCAATGGCAGCCTCTCACATTTCCTCTGACAAATTTGCGAATCTTTGCGAACGCTGCGCTTGTTTGCAGCTGACAAGCACAACGCTAGATGCCATCTTGCCTAGAGACATAATAGCCGAGGAGCGGGGCCAGGAACATGAAGTTGAGCTCTTGAATGGGACCGGCTACTACTCCTTTACTTCAGGCAGACACGCTTGCGATTCCTGCATGTTTATTTCGCAAGTTTTGAACCTCTGGCGATTTCGCAATTATAGAGAGGTGCGCGAAGGTCGCGTGTCTCTGCACTACGTGTTTCGCTTTGATGGAACCAATGGGTATGCCTTAAAAGCTCTACGTATCAGAATACTGAGAATAAGACCCTGTACATATCAAGGATCGAAAGAAATACGTGTAATTGCTGACAGGAAACGATACAGGCGGCGATAATTTCCTTATTGATTGCCCTATCACGGCAGCTACTGATCTCGATATCGGCACGCCTCTAAAGCTTCAGCCACCGTTGTCTCATATCACCGAAGAGACTCTATCGTGGATGAAATCAAAGCTGGAGTCGTGTGTATTACACAACCACTTCAACCCCGACAAGACCTTCATTCCCGATCGACTTATCGATGTTAGAGGAGACCAGCTGAGCCTAGTCCTCACCAAGCACTTCCAACCTCGAGACGCCGATAGCCATCGATATACTGCCCTGACGTACTGTTGGGGCCCAGAGCCTCATGCAAGTAAACAGCTCAAGACGACCAGCGTCAATATCCACCAGCATCTTCAGCATATCCCAGAATTCTCTTTACCACAGGTTATCAAGGATGCTGTGGCTGTAACAAGAACTTTATGCATCCCATTTCTTTGGGTAGATGCCCTGTGCATTCTTCAAGATGAAACCTCAGATTGGGACAAGCAATGTGTCGTGATGGAACGAATCTATGGCAACGCCCATTTGACCCTTGCAGCTGCATCGTCTGACAACTGCGAGGAAGGATTCATCAAAAAGAAAGATAGAATAGTCCTGCCTTTTAGAAGGACACCTCACGACATCCAGGTCTTTGGCATATACTCTCCTCGCTACGAAGAAGAGACGGGGAGAGAAATATCCCCTAGTGCTTGGTTCCAGAGAGGCTGGACGTTCCAAGAACGCCTCGCATCAACTCGCATCCTTGTATTTGCAAACGAAAACATCCATTTCATATGCAAATTCTTCGGCGAATCGATGGGAAGAGAAAGATTTACACCTCTGGGCCTTTATGACATGCTTGACCGCGTGGCAATCGATTCGGGCAGCACAACAGCTATCTATCAAGAATGGAACGAAATAATAGAACAAATCTGCTCCAAGACCCATGAGCTTACGCGGAAGACAGACTTCCTTCCTTCCATTGCGGGCATCGCATCGCTATTGAGTAAAAGGCTGGGCAATGACTACATAGCTGGTATGTGGAAGAATACTATGCATCATTCACTCTGCTGGGATGTATCAGGATCAAGACGACCGGTACCTACATATCACGGCCTACTGAGGGAATTGGAAAGTCCTTCTCCATACATTGCCCCCTCCTGGAGCTGGGCTAGTCGACACGAAAAGCTCATATTCGGCTTATATCTTCCGGAACTTACTGGTTGTCAACCCGAGTTCGATAGCCTGGAGACAGATGTCACGTTGCGCGGCGAGTCAGTCTTTGGTGAGGTGGAAAATGCCACACTTGTTGTCACTTCTAAGCTGTATAATGGCTCACCGAGGATTACATACCGTTGGGCTTTGGATAAAAACGGCCATAGCCGTAACACTGTTAGGTTCGACAGGCGATATCTTGCTGATATTAAGCCCGATTTCTCTCCTGAGTCCGCATTCGAGTCATCCAAACCTCTTACACTTGTAGAGCCCATTAGTTTCCTACTGATTAGTACCATTCAACGAGAAACATATGCAGGGGACTTTTCATCGGGATATTCTGATAGCTCTGAAGCTCTTAGCGATGAGGAGGCCGATGCTGGGTTCACTTCTGAGTCGTCGAGCGCTTCCACCGCGAGTGCTGAAAGTGGTGGTGATTTGGAGAAGAAGGCTATGTCCATAAGAGTGGCTTATGGCCTGTTAATCCACCCAACAGGCAATCCGAATGAATATTATCGAGTGGGAACATTCTTTTCGAGCCCTGAATATGGTGGGGGTCTGTCGGTCTTTGATGATGTCGAAATTACAACAGTAAGGCTCGTATAATGATTGCTTAGGAAACGGGTCTCAAGAATCTGTCCAAGGTATCTATGTGTATGGCTCGAAAGGCTCGTGAAGCTGGCTAACCAGGCTCAGAATATATCGCTTACATTCTCTATGTATACATTCTTTTTCATTCTAGGATTGGACCCGTATACAGCTTGGGATATGTTTGCTTTACGGTCCTGTATTTAACGACTCGATACAGATGCTCGAGACCTTTGTGTCTCTGCTGTCTCGATGTATTTGAATACATTTCCCAACTGAAAGACCATTACTGGCGATGATGTTGGCGCGCTGAATGCGGCTGATATTGCGGGGTTTAGCACTGTCTTCATCGAGATGAGTTAGTCGGCATACCACCGCTATTCATTCCTACCAACCGAACGACATTTAAGTGACTCAAAGCTTGGTTAGGGAGTAGGTACTAGGTATCAAGGTGGACAAAGTATGATCTGGCTGTCATTGTTGGTCGGATAATATCCAATCATTTATTTTTCCACTTGCATCCGTGTGAAAGCCATCCATGTGACTGTATTAAGCAAGATTGGATTGGCTTGGATTCCAAGAGGAGAAGCGGGGTTAACAGTGTGTTGGTCGGCCTCCTGCAGTCCAGCCCAACGTCAACCATGATTCAAAACGAGGGGTTCGCCTCCTCACAGCAGACCTGGCGCCTAACCTCGTTTGCTTCTTTGCAAATCACAGCAAAAATATTACCAAGACACGATCATTACACCTCAGCCTCCCTGCTTCTTCGTAGGTCAGTATTCTTTCAGCCCTTTTGAGAACGAGACGCTAAAGAATGAAGGTAATAAGATGGCTCACCAAGCTCCAGGCTCTGAGCCTGCTTCCACTCAGCAAGACCTTCCGAAAACACCTCCCAGCAAAAGGCCATCACAGTATGTTTTTGACTCGAACGGCGATACTCGGATCATTCTTAGCACATACATGGCCCAGATCGTTAAATGGGAGGCAGATAAAATTTGGATAGAGCAAGAGAAGCCTACGAAGGCATATTGCAAAGGGAAGAGGTGGGAAAAGAAGAAAGAGGAGAGAATCAAACTGTCCCCACCGACTACGCCACCACCTGCGCCAGAGGAGTCTCCCCCTACAACCTCAACCTCGCTAGAAGGCGCTACCAACAGAACTGCCATAGACTGGGGTACGGTCGATTTCTCAACTTTTAGTAACGTACAATATTCTCGTCCAGAATTTTCGGACTGCGACGATACGGATGCGGGTTGTGTTGACCCTGGAACGAATCAAGACAGCACAAGCATTCAAACACAAGATTGGGACTATGGAGAAACATGCATACCTCACCTTGAGATACAGTTTCGAATACTAGTCTCAGGAAAGCACTTAGAGCTGGCTTCACCTGTCTTCAAAACAATGGTCACTGGTCCTTTCGCTGAGGGAAGAGCTGATGCATCAGGTTTTCACCTGATTACAGCTAGCGACTGGGATCCTGAAGCTTTCAAGATCATCCTCACTATCATGCATGGATATAATCGAGATGTCCCAAGATCACTCAGTCTTGAAATGCTTGTAAAGGTGGCTATGATTGTGAACTATTACGATTGCCTCGAGAGCGTCGAACTATACACAGACGTTTGGCTAGAAGGGTTGAGGTCAGAGTTACCGACGGTTTATGGGCGAGACTGTATTCTTTGCCTGTTCATATCCTGGGTCTTCTCAAGACCAATTATGTTTCGAGATATGACTCAACTGGCACTGACTCACAGTCAGAAATTAATCGAAGCCCCGGATTTCCCGATTCCAGACTCCGTTCTTAGTAAGTTTTATTATGGAAACAGTATGACGGCCTACGCTGACACAGGCCGCAGAAGAGATCGACATAGCACGTCAAAGCGCTCTCGCTGAAATCTTCTCAGGAATCTACGAGCTCCTCGACCGTCTACAAGAAGAACAAGAGTGTTCCTTTGAGTGCTCATCCATGCTCCTGGGTATCCTAACGAAGGAACTCAGCAAACATGGGATTCTGTACCCGCGGAACGGCCCGCCGTTCGATGGTTTCAGTATTGAAGGTTCTAAGGAGATGATAAAAAGGTTGAAGAAGCCTAAATGGTCCGGCAGCTGGGATCACAGGCATTCCTGGCATTCCTGTTATGTTCAGAACAAGCTGTCCATTTCTCTGGCAAAGGTGGAAAGCGCTCTGCCCGTCTTTGACCTCCAGGACTTTCAGGCTACAAAAAATCATACGCGTGGCTGAGAGCTTAAATAACCAGGGAGAACTTAGAGTTTATAAATACTAAGCCAAGGAGGAAATTGGGTCAACGCAGGGTGTCTTTGTTATTGAGCCGTTAATGTAAATTGGGAGGTCTGACTCTATTAGGCAGACCTGTTAGCTGCATCTTGGTATGGGCTCAAGAATAATATCAATGAGGCTTATAGCGAGTCTCCAGTACATCATACCGTCGGCTGTATCAGCTTTAAATAGAGCAGGAAGAGGTTAGCACCAGAGATAGAAATACATCAAAGGTACGAGCTGCCAGATACGGTACTAATAGAATTGACTGCCCTAATAAGAAGACATAAATGACAAAGAGCCCATATATACTACGCAAATGAGGATAAAAAGACCTGCCTATACGACTGGAACAAGGATTAGCTCTAACTGAAGCCAGGAGTCGACTCTAGTAATATTCCTACTAGGGCAAGCTGTGTATACCATGGACATGTTACAGCGGCTATCCTTGTGGCTGGATTCTCCATAGTCTTCCACAAAGTGACTCCATCAGCCGTAAGAAGCTTAGCTTAGCTACCGGAAATGCGTTACATAACACAGAAATACAAGAATCCGCACTTACATAAAGCTCAAGTCATAGCCGTACCGTCGGCAAGGTGAAGCATACACTCATCCACTCCTAACTCACCCCAAGCTCTTAATTTACGTAGATGGCCCGCTAAACTTGGTTCATTCTCACCAACCGAACGGCTTTCAAGTATCGCCAAATGCTCCGCGACGTTGACCTGCATGCTTCCAGAGACAGTAAAGTTCTCTAGATCCCACTCTGTCTCATTCCTCCTGTGCATCAACCCACTATATCTTTCATACCTTCCCCCCATCCTTTGTAGAAAGGTCTTCATGCGCAGTTCATTCGTCCGATAGGTACTCACAGCCTCGTTATACTCTTCCGGCTGTTCGAGTCTTTGTAGATGACGGCACTGTTGTAAAAACTCATGGACCTTTAGGAGCCGACGGGCTGTTATGTCGAGGGGCGTTTCACCGTACGCGTTTAGAAGATTCCACTCGACATCTTCGGCCTGAAGCTCTTTTAGTGCTTCCAGGTTACCGCACTCAACTGCGATGTGTACAGCAGCGCCAAATTCTGCACTGACTGCGTTTAGATATTCTGGTTCTGGGTACTTCTCAATGATGTTAGAGATAATTTGACGAGGGGCGCGGGGTTTGAAGTTTGTTGGGCACTCGTCGAGCATGACAGACATGTGAAGGATAGATAGCCCTTCGTTGGCAGTTGACCCGGATGGTATACACGCACGAAAGAACTCTTCCGTGCTGGGGGGAGTAAGCTCGAGTAGAAATAGAATCTGCTTATCGAAGTTACTGTACTTGCGGCTCTTTCGGATGAGACGTGCGAGGAGGGTGGTCTCGTCGCCATCCTCATCTACACGACGACACGACACGTCACAATGCTCGCTCTCGTACAGTTCGCGCGCACGTGCCTCGTACCCGCCCAAGACGGCCATCTCAAAGGCAGAAATGCCGCTGTCTTCTTCTTCGACGGGTAAAGGCGTACCGTTGGGTAGCATCATGCTTGGCTCGCCTACAGGTTCCATGATGCTGCGCCCACCAAGCCCAGGCCGGATAGTAAACGACATTTTGAAGCCTCCCTGCGAAGCTTTCTGCTGCAAGATATCCTGGCCGACATCCGGGCCAATCGTTTCTTGTAGCGGTGGATCTCTGATTAACTCAAGCTTGAGCTTTGACCTGGCGTTCGATTCGAGGCGTTCCTTGATATCATACAAATGACTTATAAAGTCTGGAAGCTTGTGCCCTTGAATCGACGCCTGAAGCTGAAACGCTGACTCAGAGTCTCGTGTTTCTCTTTCGGCAAGTGGAAGAAGGTACTCAACCGCTGTCAAGTCCTCGACATCGAGGGCAGTCTGAAGTGTTCTAATGAGATTATTTGTGGTGGGCTGGATGTTCAAAGATCGTAGATGGTTCAGCACAAACGGTTGGCCGTACAAGGTCGCTGCCGTGAAGATGGAGTGTTTGACCTGTGTGGTGACATCCCAATTGACTACCTGGCCCTGGCCTCCACGCTTCAGAAGAAGGGTGATGGTCTCCTCACATCTCTTGATGTGATCCTTCCCATGAAGTGATACCCGATCGTAGAGGCCCTGGTACCAGTAGTCGACAGCACACCAGAGCGGAGTGACCTTGAGGGAGTGCGTTTCATAACACATCCAATCCAGTAAATGTTCATATTCCTTGCCCCCGGGTAATAGAGCCTCTAGGACGTCCGACATATGTAGTCTTGCTGCATAATGGACCGGTGAGTATGTCCTCCCACGTTTATGGGCAGCCATAATTCCTGTGTACGGCTCATACTTCTCCGCTCCGTTAAATGGATCCGCGCCCAGGGAGATAAGCGCCGAAACTGCTGCGAGGCTCGACTGCGCTACAGAAAATAGGAGAGGCGTCGCATCAGCAAGGGTGTCTCCCAAATCGAGTTGTCCAACGGTGCATGGAGTAACAAGGCTGCAGCGGGTTTCTATATCGAGATCTCTATCTATAAGGAGCCGTGCTAAAGGAAGCATATCCTCATCTCCGAAATGGGCCAAGAAATGTAGTGGTGTTAGTCCGGAGGTTTCATCTCTTAGCGGTGTATCGTGCTCGATGAGAACTTTGGCGATCTGATAGTCACCATTCTGACAGGCTTGCATCAGAAGAGAAACGCACAAGTCAGGGTTGAGACCCGGTAGCTCGAGAACCTTTTGCAAGCTGACATTCCAGCTCCGGTTGACCAAATATCTGCAGATGAGCGAGAGCCGGTCTCTCAATTTGTTGCTGTTTTGAAGCTGGTTGCTTTCCGAAAAGGCCTCATCCGAAGTCGCAGAGATATCTGCTTCCTCTCTGACCTGCGCATCCAGCGCTGCCGTCTGATCTCGTAATGCATCAGCGCATCTCTCTGAACTCAATCGCTTGAAAGAACTTCGATCTCCAAGAACAGCCAGGTCGTATAGCCATCCTTCTTCAACCCTTGGATCTATAGGATTCGTCATCCCTATCCAGCTCAGTACCCTTCCCACTGTAGTGCGAGCCTCTTCATGTCCCAGCTTTGCTGCCGTCACGAGGTATTGTCCGGCTTGGCTAAGTGATGGTGCGGAAGTAGCAGCGGATCGGTGAATGCTAATGAGCCACGTCGCCATTGCATATGCCGCGAGGGATCGTGATGTTTCGCAGTATGAGTCTGAATCGGCGACCTCTCGTACATGAGTGATAATTTCTGTGGCAACTCGACCAGGAAGGCGCCTGAGCCTGCTAAAGTATGTATTGATCTAAATGCATATGCCTTGTTAGTCCTGGCTGGTTGTTCAAAATCTCGGTGGAAGTGCTTACCGAAATTGTCCTTTCTGGTAGAGGGGCCAAGGTAACATGTCCCGCTTCCTCCACTTTCCGCTCCATCTCCCTTGTGTATCGTTGAGATGGATCTGGATAGGGATGGTGAAGAAGTGGTATGGTAGTTTCAAGATCTAGCCCTTGTTGGCTATCTGTGGCCGCCATGGACTGGGATACTACGTCCTCTGCTTGATCCAGGGGTATATTATCACCTAAGTCTAGTTGGTTATTGTCTTTGATGCCGATCAAGAGACGGAGGAACGCTTACAGTGGCTCAAATAGACGTCCTCTTCAAGGGAATCAAAAGTCTCAAAGACTTCTACATTGTCTGTAGCAGCAGATATAATCTCATGGTGAAGCATTGTTCTCAGTAGCTCAAGAGGTTCTGCGGCTCCAGCCTCAAGCTTGCCTTCGGTAGAGAGCTTTGAATCGAAGAACTCGAAGATGAGACCTGATACTTTGTCTGTAAAGACACGTGGACCAGACGAGTCATTAGCATCCTTCTGCATTCTGATAAAGCTTGCGAGGGCACCATCTTCAGTTTTAAGCTTGCGCAGGGGCTTTTGACCATCACCTGACACATGTGCCTGTTCAAGCACCTTGTTCATGAAAGGCCCAACCAATAGAAGAGATACCGCGAGCGTCAAAGAATAGATATCAGCTTGACGCAAGCCTTGAGCATCGAGGGCCTCCAAAACTCTGGGACTCTGCCATAAGGTGGTTCCTGATTTCAGCTTGAATGGTTCATGTATGTTTGAAACCAAAAGGGAGCAGCCAAAATCTGTAAGCTTTGCGCATGGCCTGCCCTTTTCGTCGATGAAAACCAGAATATTTTCTGGCTTCAAGTCTGCGTGAATGACGCCGACAGTGTGAAGAGCAAGCAAGCCTTGAAAGCAATGGATTGCTAGACGCAGCCTGTCTCTCGCATCAAGCTCCGTCGAACTTTCAAGGTATTTGCATAGATCGCCTCCTTGGGCCGTCTCCAACACCAGAACAGGCATCACAACGCGGTCGCTGTCTACACCCCAGCAGATGCCAATCATCTCCGTGATGTTCTTATGTCTCCGGAGCTGCTCGTTACTGAGAATTGCGATTTCAGTGCAGATAGACTCTGAGAGTTCCCGGCCATCCTCCGAGTCCCAATTCACCCTTTTTTTTGGGACTCGGAGGACAACGTCGTTGAGATGTAGCATGGCCAGTCTATGGATGGTGGCCATTTTGAACCGAGAATCCACGTATTTTATCAGTGTGCTTGGTCGGCTTCGCATGACTTGAAACGAGCGGCCAGACGCAAAGCAGGCCTCTCTTTCAAAAGCCTTTTCGTCGATGCAGATGTTGGCTAGCACTTCCTCCCTTGCGGATGGACATGTGCCTACTGCGTTAATGGCAGCAGTGAACAGAGGCAATAGCCCTGGCATGGGCCGTTGTAATTCCCCCGCGGGGTCTGTCATCACGGATCTCTTGACGGCGATCAGAATCAATGGGTAAGGTGGGATACTTGAGGCGTGTTTCCTGTGCCGGATAGACTATGAAAAGTAATATCCTGAGTTGAGAGTCCAGCGTTCTTGGAGAGCGGCCTCCTCATTCGATGTTGCGTTTGAAATGGAAGGTAAGTATTTAATCTTCTCGGATCGCAGACACTGGAGGCGCGGTCTAGACCTTGCATCGCACAAGCCGTGGAAAGCTTCGATCCATCACATTCTTGTAAGTCCGGGCGTTCTCGAGACTTAATTCGCATTTAGCTAGCATTACCGCCACAAAGATGAGGTTGAAATCATTTCTGCCTCAAGCAAGACGAGTTCATGTACTGATAGCCCACAGTGGCGGCCTTTCAGAGCTCGTTATTCTGGTTTAGCGCAAGTATGCGCCATGGTGGCGGCGGCAGAGAGCCGTGAACCAACGGAGGTTCCGCTAGCAAACGGAGGTCTGCTCCTCAGCTGAACGACGCCATGAGGGCCCCTCAGGGAGCAAGAAAATACCGAACCTTGATACAGGGTGCTAAAATAAACTTAGAAAAGAGCTCCCTAAACTTAGGTTAGATTTACCTAAATATTTTTATCGCTTAGGGTTAAGGTCCTGTGTTTTCTTTCCTTTCCTAGGGGCCCTTTGAAATAAAAGATGTGTAAATGCTACGAATGTGTAATATGACAACAAACCAAATCCTCGTGATTGAAGCAATCTTTCTCCCTTGAAAAGTACCCAAGCCAACTCACCCAGTACATATCCGACATGTCTGGCCTCGAGGCTATCGCAATTTTGGGATTTGCCCTTCAGGTCGTCGACACTACTGTCAGGGTCATTGATCTATGGAAGGCCACAAATGAAGTCGGACAAGAAGTCATTATAATAAAAGCCAGACTCGACATGATTCGCGCCCGTCTCAAGACCTGGGCACTTGGCTGGGGGCGGTTGAATGAGGAGGACCTCAAGAAGAGTCGACGCTTCAAAGACTTCGGATCTCTGGCTCTGAGATATGTCTTGATAATACAGTATCGGCTCACGGCACTGGAAGACTTTGACAAAAAGTATCCTTCGTTGTTTCGAAATGATCGCGTTCTAGAGGGGCAGCCTCGCTCAGCAGACCGCGGTCTTCAACTAGCTCTCATTGCTCAAACGGATGGACCAGACGCTAAGGACCTGGAGCTACTCCACAAGGAGGTAGCTTCTATAAATCATGCCAACATAATTCAGCGTTGGAGATGGGCCCGGAAGGGGGGCGAGGGTATGAAGATGACGGACCAAATTGCGGCGTTAGTTGGGGAGCTCGAAGATTTCTTTATACCCCCGACCAGTGACCAGATCGAGCCAGTTGACTTGGACCGGAACCAGCCGCCAGTCGAAGGTTCTGGAGAGGATAGAGCTTTCAAAGTAGTGCAGGGTATCGCTACCTTCAAGAAAGCCGCAGAAGAGATGAGAAACCGAACCGACAGCATGCATCAACGAGAGCTACTAAGAAGCCACCGAGGAATTAAAAACGAAAAGAAACAGGACAACACAAAGCAATACTCCACCCACCGCAGCTTGGCCAACTTCAAGGCTCGCGACATCAATATCACACCTGTGATGATCGAGTGGATATATGTACCAAGCAGCTTATCTGCCGAAATCAAGGAGGCTTCCCAGAACCAGATACACGACCTCGCTTTACTACTACACTCAGAAAAGAAGCCTCACGAGTTCAGGACTCTAGAATGCATAGCCATGGTCGATATGCCCGTCGCAGAAGAAGAGGACGCGCAATACGGTTTGGTCTTCAAGCTTGAGGAGGGGCACCAGGTTTATACTCTTCTGGAACTGCTGAGTAGGGAAGAATCTACGCCTAAATCTCTCACTGAGCGGTTGAAGCTTGTTAAGCTGCTTTCCAAAACGCTGCTGTTTCTCCATCTGGGATCGTGGCTACACAAAGGTATACGGAGCGATAATATCCTGTTTCTGAGCAACGATATATCTAGCGTTGATCTTGGCGCGGCATACATTGGTGGTTTTGACTACAGTAGGCTGTTCCGAGAGACCAGGCTGACTCAAAATGTTGGAGACAATCGTGTGCAGAATCTGTACCGGCACCCAGACCACCAAGGCCATCCAATGCATGCGAATGGTGAGTCAACTGACCGACCGCCTTTCTCATACAAGGCCGACCTGTACAGTCTTGGTGTCGTACTCGTGGAGATTGGCCTGTGGTCTCCAATCATCAAGCTTTTAGAGGCTCGGGGGAGTCAAGATGAAGACGAAAGTGTGCGGGAGACAATACTGGATATGATTCCTCAAGTCAGGATGAGGATGGGTGATGCTTTTGCCGATGCAGCCGAGGCGTGCTTGAGGAGTGAGTTTGGAACAGGTGAGGCTGGACAGCCGGAGAGTGTTCGAGAGGCTTTTTATTTATCTGTAGTAAGATTGTTGGAGCGGTGCTTCATATAAAGGACTTGCAAAAGTAGCTGAGACTTGAGGCTGCCGTAGTGAGGGACCATTGAGCGTGCAAAGAGGGCCTGCCCATGTACCCCATCCCGACGTCACCACCAACCCAACTTAGACAGCGAGAGTTCAGCTGTACAAACGGAAGGAGATTTTAGAATGCTAGAGTCGTGTATCTAACCTAAGTAACATCCATCTATGCTACGCTAAGTAAGGGGATCGAGGGTTTATGGGGTGGTTATTGTTATGGACTGGGCAATATACCCGGCGGGGGGGGGGGGGGCCAACTAAGCAAGCTTAGTTGGGCACAAAAGTGCGATACAGTCACAAAAACCTGATACAGCTGAACACACCAAAAGTCAAGATTTACAGTATAATTCCTAGTAACTTTAGTATTTAATAACTAATTAAAGAAAGATATTATATAAGTAAGCTAAATATTATAAAATAGCTTAAAATTAGCTTTATAAGCTACTATTTTTATAATTATTTTTACTATTTTATTTAATATAGTTTTAAATTCTTTAAAATACTAAGATTTTAGAAAAATCCTTTTTTTAACTTTCTTAAAGAAAAACTAGTTTTTATTTAATAATTAATTCTAGAAAAATGCTATAAAGATAAATTAAATATAGAAAATATTAGAAGATAGGGTAACTCTAATTAGTCTAGCTTACCTAATAAGGATCAGAGCTCCTTATAGGTATAAGTAATATAGCTTCCCCCCTTTTTACATAAGAGAATTTAAGGCTCTTTTAACCCTTATATATACCCCTTTACTATATATACTATAGTTATAAGCCTAGGTAGGTATAAGACCTAGTAACTTTACTGCACTACTTAATATATATTTTATCTTATCTTATTCTATAAAACTAATATCCTTAAAAGAATTACTAAGCTTATTAAGTATAACTATCTTTAAATAAAGCACTTTATATATATCTACCTATATACTCCTTTACAGTCTAGATAACTAGATTTTATAGATTTAGGAGATTAAATTACAGGCTAAAGTATATAAAGCCTAGCTATAAATTAACCCTAAGTACTCTAATTAGGATTTTAATAAGCTATAAGAACTTTTAATAAATATTTTAATACCTTTAGTAAAAGGAAGCTTATAAAGTATATAACTAAGGTAACTACTACTAAAGTTAAAAAAAGACTACTTACTAAACTCTCTATAAGTAATCTAAAAATCTTCTATAAAGTATCCTTTCTAGAACTATAATATATCTAAAGATAATATAGGTAATAGGCTAGTAAATACTTATAGATCCTAGCCTATATAATAACAAGTATTAACTTTAGTATCCTTTTTTTTATACTTATTTAAATTAAAAAAGATTATTTAAATAGCTATATAATTTATTAATTACTTTAAGGTTTAAAAGAAAATCTAGTATTAAGTATAATAACTACTATTAGGAAGATTACTTAAAAGTATCTTAAGGTCCTTAATAATACTTTTAAAGCTTAATAAAGCCCTAAATAGTAGCTTTTATAATAGTAAAAAGCTTATATATAAGCTAGACCTTTTTATATCCTTAAAATCTTAGGAAACCTAGGTATTAACTGCTTTTTAAAAGTAGTTAAGAAAAGGATAGCCTCTTTATAAGCAGAAACTAAGTAAAATGTACTCCTTAAAAAGGGAAAAACTAATAAGAAAACCTTCTTTATAGAGCTAGCTAGTAAGCTATATATAGTTATTAAAAGAACTCTATCTAGTAAGAGCTATTAGGTCTAAATAACCTTTAGTAATTATATAAATAAGCCTAAGAAGTATAATAACTGCCTTTATAAGTATAATAACTATTAGTAAAAGGCTAAGAAATATACCTTCCTTATCTATATAGTTATTAGTATAGCCTTTTATTATATTAAGAAACCTTTTAATAGTAAGCTTAATAGAATCTAAAAGGAGCTTAATAAGCCCTTTTAAAGATAGCTTAAGCTAAAAGTTATAAGAAATAGCAGTAAAGGAAGCTTATAAGCTTAGGGAAACTAAAGGTTTACTGTTTATTTTAGTAACTTAATAAACTTTATTTTATTACCTAATATCTTAGCTAAGGCTAAGTATAATATATAGCTTTATATTACTTACTAAGGACCCCTTTACCTACTTATATAAAGTACTTTATTAAATATCTATAGCGCTATATACTTAGTAAATATAATAGCCTTACTTAAAAAAGGTTCCTTTATCCTAATAAATAGTAACTATATAGAAGCAGGTAATATATACTTTTTAATCTTAGTAAAGAAAACTAAGGTAATTTAAAAGATTATAAATAGCTTAAAGGGGGTAAAAACCTAGTTACTAACCCTTAGTAATATTATTATTATTAAAGGATTTTATATAAATATTATATTAAAAGCCTTTTTATAATTATTAGGAGTATAATACTCTAGGTTTAACTGCTTTCTAAAATAGAAAAACCTTTTAAAAAGTATAGTCTTTATATAGCTATAATATAAGTATAATATATTAGTACTTTAATTAAAGCCTATTTTAACCTATTTCTTTATTAATTACCTAATACTTAAAAATATAATTTTAATTAATAATAAGGTAGTTCTTTAGTACTTTAGTATAATAAAGTAAGTATAATATATTTTTTTACTTTCTAAGTATAAAAACTATTAAGAGATAAAAAGAGGGCCTATAATAGCAGTAGCGCTTTATAGTACTTAAGATTAAGGTACTTAGAAAAAGAAGTACTTAAAAAGCTAGTAAATTAAGGTAAGAATATATAAATTAATAAAATAGTATATATAGACTATAAGACCTATACTTAAATATATACTATATAAGTTATTAGTTACTAATAACTAGAAAATCGCTTCCTAAGACCTTTTTAAAGGATTTATTAAGATCTTTAAGAGTATAAAATAGAGTATAATAGCTTAAATTACCTACTAGTAATAAAAGATAAATTTAGTAATTAGCTATATACTATACTGCTAGAAAGTAAAAAAAAATTAGTAGTTTTTAATATACTATTTTAGTTTAAATACTAAGTAAATACTAGTTTAAACTAGTTATTTATAAAATATATAGTAATAATAAGCTTATTATAATTTATATATTAGGTAATACTAACTTCTTATAATAAGTACAATTTAAAGGTATAGATATAAAGCTTATACTGCTTTATATAAAGGAACCTAATAGTAGTATAGAATAAGTAAAGAAAAAAGTATTAGAAAAGTTAAATATAATACTTAATAAAGTATAGCTACCTTATTTACTATAGCTAGAGAGTATATAAACTACTACTTTTTTACTTAATATAAGCCTAAAGGCAATAAGGGGATAGCAGTTCCTTATAGAAGTATTATAGAATTAGTTTAAATATAAAGTACTATTATAAATAAGAAAGTATATAGTAGACCTTAGACCTAATTAAAGCAGTATATAAGCCTATAGCTACTAAGCCTACCTATTAAATTAAAATAAAAAAGCTAGGATATATAAAAAGATATTTAAAATAAGCCCTAAAGGTTATATTAAGTATTTAGTAGGCTATATAGTGTATAATATATACTAAATATAAATACCTTAGCTTAAAAAGGTAATAATTACTTAAAATATTAAATTTAATAAGTATATTTTTTATTAACTAGAGAAAGAATATATAAAAAAGCTTCTAAAAAGGGTATTTAAAGTATAGATCCTTAACCTTAAGGAAAATAATAATAAGATTAACCTACCTAATAGACCTATCTAAGTTATATATTTTAAGGGTTTAAACTTAGGGGTAAAAGTAATTAAAAAAAGCACTATAACCTATATAGAAAGTACTAATAAGCATTAAAACTAGTATATACTAATTTAAATTACTAATAAACTTTAGACTTTAAAAGTAATACTAAAGCTAAGTAGGCTTAAAGCTAAGGAAAATAATAAAAGCATTATAAATACTTATATAATATCTAAAAGCTTTATAATAGCTAAGGTAAGTAAGTTACTAAGTATATAACTATAAACTAAGCTAGAAGCCCTTAAAGGTATACAGAGAGTACCTTAAAGCTTAAAGTTACTACTATAATTACTAGAAATACTAATAAGTAATATAATTATTATAGTAAGCTATAAAGAAAAGGATATACTTATATTACCTTTTTAATAGTCTAAAAGTAATAAAATAAATAACTAAAATAATAATTAAGAATAGCAGATATAAGACCTAGTTATAGAA